CACTAAAGGGCTGATCAAGCACCCTAAAGAAGGCGAACTACTTGTTTGAAGGTGTCGAAGTACCCTCATTTGGGTGTCCCTACATAGAGGCCAAACCAATTTGGCCCAAGCACATGTTCGCTTTGGTAGTTCATTTTTGTGGTGGCCATCATTTGGGGATTTAGACGTCCATCCACCCTCTTTGAAACAACAAACCAAATCTCACGGACATTTGGACTAAGATCAACAACACACGACTTCACCGCACACTGGTAGGGACAATGGTCGCGGAAAGTCGACCTTTCTACCAACATCTTTCTCACTTTGAAGACAAGTGGCTTTCTGTGATACTGTGGATGGACAGAATCCTGCACCACTTTGAAACCACGCGAAACCCCGCTTGGTTGGTATTTACAGGGGAATCATCATTCCAGGGTTTCTTAGGTGGTGCAGGATTTCGTCCATCCACAGTACCAACATCTTTCTCACTTTCAAGGCCACCTTATGGCAGGAAGCGGCAACCCTTTCTGCGTCTGTTTTTCCACGCCCAAACTTGTGCAAGGTCCAGGTCCGGCCTGGGCACGTAGGGCGTGCTCTGCGTCTCACAGCCCAGGACCTGCTTCTGTGCCCGGAGAGTAGTCACGCAAATGAATGCTGCCCCCGGATTCATCGACCCAGTTTATCAATATAGGCATAGGTGGCCTTTTGCAAAAATATATGGCCCTGGTAAATGGAATAAACCCCATCTAAGCCAGGGCCCTCGATTTTTTAAGCAAGCCAACCAAAAAGGACACCTATGAAAATGGGGGTGTTCCCCTCCAAACGTAATAAATCCCCGCTAAATCCAAGAACACCCCCATATAAAACAATCAGGGGAGTTTATCAATCCGGGGTCAGTCAACATTATGAAACAATGAGGTCAACCAGGAATCGCCAGCGATTTGTCCACCCAAACAACCTGAACAAAGGACATGCCCCAAAAGGAACGGCTTCCGTTGGGCTTCCCTTAACCCTCGCCCAGACATTACCCCCAACTCAGGAGTGGCACTTTGACCAACTCGGGGGCTCTCGTCGAAATGAGCTGCGCCCTTTGTAACGAACCAATCATACAGCCCAAAGGAAACCAGCACACATGAAGCCAACCACAATGAAACCCCTCTAACGTCAAAAACAATCCACGACACCAAACTAAATAAGTTCAAAGCGCATGAAACAAAGCGACGTGAAAACAGCCTCTTGGCAGCACCGAGCCCTCCCATGTCCATCCGCCTCGCACACTGAGAGGCTCTTCCGCACCCCGAAGTCCAAAAGCAACATAGCTTTCACCACTTGGCACCTGCGCCTGAAGCCCTACAAAGCAACGAAGAAGGTGGCTGACAGACACAAGAAATCTCCACTACCCCGGCCCCGCAAAAAACTTTGGCCCCGCGCGCAGTGGTCAATAGCCTCTTAGTGTCCACCCTCTGGCCATGAGCAATGCAACATGCCAGCGAAAATGGCTAGTGCGCCAAAGGGGTTCGAATAAAGAATATGATATGGTATGATGTGATATGAGATGGGATGGGATGGGATGAGATGCAATGAGATGCGATGAGATGCGATGAGATGAGATGTACTGATACATACATACATATAAAGGGTACGTGCCTAGGTGTTGCTTGATTTCAGTCATTTCTTCAGGTCATTTGCATTTGTTTGGCCAAACTTGGGCACCAAGGAGACGTTCAATGTGACAATCTGGAATTCAAGATTCGATATTCAAAACATGTGTTTCTGGAATATTGAATCTTGCATCCCATATGTTTCTATGTTTCTTTGTCCTTTTAATATCTGGGATTCAAGATTCAAGATTCAAGATTTTAAATAATATTTTTCTGGGAATATTGAATCTTGAATCGTGAATCCCAGAATTTGTTACTTAAACAATATATCTGGGATTCAAGATTCAAGATTTCAAAATAATATTTTTCTGGGAATCTTCAATCTTGAATCTTGAATCCCAGATTTAAAAGAAGGTTTGTCCCAATACTCTCGGTGTTCAATAAGATTCTCGGAAAAGCTTTCCGTGAAATGTTTCAATTTTTGAATCTTCAGTCTAGGGGAAAAATACGTCGAAGCTTTAGAACAACTTGATCATTTTTAGTGTTTGACCAGGATGGATGATTCTCAGGAAAGCTGTTGTTTGTGCAATCCTCGATATTGAATCCTCAATCCAGTGCTAAAGCACTTTCAAGTGTGAGAAGAACTTGAATGTTGTTTGGGTTTGGCCAGGATTGACAATTCTCAGGAAAGTGTTATGTGTAATCTTCAATCTTGTTTGTTTCCATCCAGTGGTAAAATACTTTCAAGTGCTTAGCGATCCAGTGGAAACACTTTCAAGTTATTGGTTAGACAAGCTTTCAAGTGCTTTTGGTGAGCGGTTTGCTTCATGTTAGCTGTGAAGCATGTTGACCCTTTTCCAGGGGGTAAACAAAGGTAGGTGTAATGCTTAAAAACACTGTGGTTTGCAGGATTTTATGAAGAGGCGCAGGATCATCAGGGTACTATATATGTGTATGTATGTATATACATATGCATATATATATATATATATGTATATATGCATATGTATGTATGTTCACACACCGTCACCCCCCCCCTCTTGAACTATCTCTCCACATTTGCTCATCTACTACCTCATATACGTAAATACACATATACATATATATATATATATATGTATATATATATATTTATATTAACCACATTTTTATCTATATATATATATGTATACGTACACATCGCCGCAGACTCCTTTCCATCTCGCCTCGGCGCCGAAGGGCCCCGGCTTCTGCGGCAGGGCGTAGCAGAGCCGCGCCGGCACCTGGAAGCCGCCTGTGGATCAATCGATGAGATCCGGAAGTGAAGAGAAGCCCTTTCTGTTGTATCACAGTGGAATTGACTTTTTCCGGAGGTTTTTTAGTGAACTCGGTGGTTTGTGGTTTTTTTTCGTTGGTGTTCGTTGTTTTTAGTTGGTTTGGTGATAGTTTGTTTAGCTAATTTGGTGGTAGTTTCTTTCTTTTTTTCGGCCAAACAGAGACCACTGGGTCTCCCTATTGGGACGATGGATTTCGTGACAGGGTTGTGCTTGCTCACTTGATTAGTTTATCCAACCACTTCTGTGATACATTTGGGAATCTCCCCCCCTTTCGGAAGCCCTTTTCTGTTGTATCACAGTGGCTTAGTTTTGTTTTCTCCGATGGTGAACTCGTTTTTTTTTTTTTTTTTTTTTTTTTTTTTTTTTTTTTTTTTTTTTTTTTTTTTTTTTTTTTTTTTTTTTTTTTTTTTTTTTTTTTTTTTTTTTTTTCGTTGGTGTTCGTTGTTCTTAGTTGGTTTGGTGGTAGTTGTTTTAGCTGATTTGGTGGTAGTTTCTTTCTTTTTTTCGGCCAAACAGAGCACCACTGGGTCTCCCTATTGGGACGATGGATTTCGTGACAGGGTTGTGCTTGCTCATTTGATTAGTTTATCCACCCACTTCTGTGATACATCTGGGAATCTCCCCCTTAAAGCAGGGAGGTTGGGCTCTTTCGGAAACCCTTTCTGTTGTATCACAGTGGATTAGTTTGTTTTGTTTTTTTCTCCGGCGGTTTTTTAGTGAACTCGGTGGTTTATGTTCTTTCGTTGGTTTTCGTTGTTTTTAGTTGGTTTGGTGGTAGTTTTTTTAGTTGGTTTGGTGGTAGCTTGTTTCTTTCTTTCGGCCAAACAGAGCACCACTGGGTCTCCCTATTGGGACGATGGATTTCGTGACAGGGTTGTGTTTGCTCACTTGATTAGTTTATCCAACCACTTCTGTGATACATTTGGGAATCTCCCCCTTAAAACAGGGAGGTTAGGCTCTTTCGGAAGCCCTTTCTGTTGTATCACAGTGGATTAGTCTCTGTTTTTTCTCCGGAGGTTTTTTAGTGAACTCGGTCGTTTGTGGTTTTGTTCGTTGGTTTTCGATGTTTTTAGTTGGTTTGGTGGTAGTTGTTTTACTTGGTTTGGTGGTAGTTTCGTGCTTCGTTTTTTTTCTCCGGCCGAACAGAGCACCCCTATTGGGACGATGGATTTTGTGACAGGGTTGTGGTTGATCACTCGGGGTTTATCCAACCACTTCTGTGATACATTTGGGAATCTCCCCATTAAATCAGGGAGGTTAGGCTCTTTCGGAAGCCCTTTCTGTTGTATCACAGTGGATTAGTTTGTTTTGTTTTTTCTCCGGAGGTTTTTTAGTGATCTCGGTGGTTTATGTTCTTTCGTTGGTTTTCGTTGTTTTTAGTTGGTTTGGTGGTAGTTTTTTTAGTTGGTTTGGTGGTAGCTTGTTTCTTTCTTTCGGCCAAACAGAGCACCACTGGGTCTCCCTATTGGGACGATGGATTTCGTGACAGGGTTGTGTTTGCTCACTTGATTCGTTTATCCAACCACTTCTGTGATACATTTGGGAATCTCCCCCTTAAAACAGGGAGGTTAGGCTCTTTCGGAATCCCTTTCTGTTGTATCACAATGGATTAGTCTCTGTTTTTTTTCTCCGGAGGTTTTTGTTGTATCACAGAAGTGGATTCCATTTCCCGCAGCCCTGGTTTTATGTGACTCGGTGGTTTGTCCTTTAGTTGTTCTTCGTTGTTTTTAGTTGGTTTGGAGGCTTTTTTGTTCCGTTTTTCGGCCAAACAGAGCACCACTGGCAATGGATTCCTTGACAGAGTTGTGGTTGATCACGCGGGGTCTATCCAACGACGTCCGTGATAGACTGGAATCTCTTTCTTTGGGGGGGTTGGTCTTTGGGAAGCCCTTTTTGTTGTATCCAGCCCTGGTAGTGAATGTCTGCACAAATAAACACGAAAGTTGGGGTCGAAGCCGGGCCTCTTGCAAAGGCCGCGATCCAAAGGCCGCATTGCAAACATGGAAGTGGACCGGGGGCTTCCCAAAAAGGCAAAGTAGGCTGAAAACCTTTTGGCAGCTTCCGAGATTGTAGGTTGGGTCTGTCTTGTTTTGGGGAACCCTTTTTTGGCCGGTTTTGATGGGAAGCCAAAAGGAAAACCGGGTGAAAAGGAGGCCGCAATTCACGGGGGAACCCCTTTTTGGCTGGTTTGAAAAGGGAAGCCAAAAGGAAAACCACCATACATACATATATATGTATATATCATTATTTTTTGAGGGGGGTCCCTAAAAAGACACTGCCATGTGAGTGTTTCTCAAAATACTGTGGATGGACGAAATCCATTTCGCACCACAGTGCAGAAACCCTGGATTCTGATTCGATTCCCCTGTAAATACCAACAAACGCTATGGATTCAACCATGGTTTCAAAGTGGTGCAGGATTTCGTCCATCCACAGTATGATAGCCTTTCGGGGTGTTTACTCTGAGGGGTATATAGCTGACTTATTGATTTGCCTCTGGAGTCATTGATTGATTAAATCATTGATATACGTGTGTATGGAATCATCTTTCTATCAGTTTGACATTACCAAGCTAGATTCTGTCTTTCCATTGTTCTTGTGGGAAACCCAACAACGCCCACTCCTTGTTCGGAAATCCTTCCTGGGACGAAACACATCTGCGATTTCATGGGGAGGAGCTGGAGGAGCTGGAGGAACAGGGGAGCCGGCTTCAGTTCAAAGGCATTTGAGGAAGCTTCCCAAGCCGAATTGCAAGGAGAAAAGATGTACAGACTCGATGCCGTTCAGATTGGCCTTTTGCAGGTGGGTCCAAGGTGATGACCCTCATGGTGTTTCTCCACCTTTTCGAACCCTCAAATCCCAGCCACATTTCCTAGGCTTCAGGGTCGGCGCCATGCTCCTCCAAATGAACTGCCCAAGTTTGCAGGCAAGTCCGGCCAAGCACAGCAAGGCGCATCCGGAAGAGCGATGGGTGCCACAAAACATGACTAAACGTGGAATAGAGGATTGCAAAAAGTGTCGAAAAAGGGGCAAAAACCAGCAGGACACATCATTTTTGGTGAAAAAAAACAAGAGTAAACGGCAGGGTCACAGCGGGCGACCCCTTTACACCACACGCCTTCGGTCTTCCGCAGCAGTTCCAAGCTGTGGTTCAGAAGCAGCCGCCCGTCCTGGAGCCTCACCTGACATCGATGTTGGGTCGAATGGAAGGCCGGGCCAGAAGAGGAATCTCATGGGGACCCCCTGTCTTGTGCAAGCTAGGGTTCATGGCTTCCCGTTGGAAAGAATGGAGTTTCAAGGTCTTGGCACACTGCAGATGGCATGCTTGAAGACTTTGAACGTGCCGGTCTAAACAAGCTTCCACCTTTGGAGGACTCAGGCGTAGCAGGTTCACGTTGCTTCCTTACAAAAAAAGTACTGAATAAAAACTAAAACGGTGGGCTTCAGCAAGAAAAGCAAGGGTGTCTTAAAATGGGCGACCCCCGAAAATGGCCACGATCTCCTTTTGGTTCGCCTTCACAACCAACCGAAGGGGGGGGGGTTCCCAAGACGGCGCACATAGAGGCCGCCGTTTCGGCCGGCCTCCAGGGTCAGCACGGGCGCCTCTAGGTACAACGCTTCCAAAGCGGCCTGAATGCGGGTGCGGGGGCCCCCTATGGGATTTTCCCATGTGGGGGGCTTCATCTTTCATCTTCATGTGAGGGTTTATTTATTATTGTTTTTCTTCATCTGTTTTAATTGTCAAAGTTTTTCAAAGGAAATGAAGTGTCGTTGTTTGTGGGGGGAACCCTCCCCCAAGCCAAAATGCAGGGTGGCCAAAATGGTGGCTTCCCTTTAAACAAAAACCCGAAAGGGGTACTCCAAAAAAGACTGCCCATTTGGCTATGAATCCCTGAAAAGTGGTTCAACGTGGATCGCCACCGAATGTCCACCAAAGGTCCCCAATTGATCCACGGTCCAACTTACGTGTTTCCCTCAGAGGGCATGGACATATTTTGATTAAGTCGTGGAATGCTTAAGGCAGCCCGGTTTCGGGGTGCAAACCATGGTGCTAAAAGGTGGTGCGAAAGGCGGTGCGCAGAATTTACGCCTTCAGGTTGGCCCAAACTGCTAACAAGGGTGCTAAGCTGTGGTGTCAGCGCCCAGAATTGGCTCCTTCAGAAAAAAGAGAAGAAGAAAACAAGAAGTATAAAAAAAAAAAAAAAAAAAAAAAAAAAAAAAAAAAAAAAAAACGCTTATTCTTGAGCTGTCTTCACATTCCCCAAACAAGATTGTTGCAACATCATGCGTTGACGGGAGCTCAGCCAGAAAGTCGCCATCATGTTTCATGTGTGTGTGTGTGATGTCAAACTCATAGGCATAGTTTCCTGGTAGGAGTCATTGTGACCGTGTTCAGGATCCCTACCAGCTAGATTGACCATTCCAGTTAACCCCAAGGAAGGACGCCTTTTGACCATGGCACATGTGAGAAGCTCAATCAAAAGCTCCAAAATCGGCCAAAGGAGCGAAAAACGAGAAGCTCCCGTCAAAAGAGCCGCGCAAATCGAGGAGCTTCAAGGTTTCTTGGAGAATCCCATCCAACATTCGCACCTATGTCGGGGATTTACTCCCCGCATGGAGCAAACAAATGGGTGAGATTCCTCAGAAAAATGGCGGTGGTTGGGGGTCCATGTTAAGCTGCAGCGGAGCACTTGTTACTTGCAGTTTCCCCTGCTCATCCACAATCCGCATTTCTGATACGGCTGCCGACCAGAGGTTGCAAAACATGCTTTAACAGCGAATGGCCTTCTGCTTTGAAGGGAGACAAGGAGGCTCATACAAACAATTGCTGCTTGCCGGATGGAAATGACGAGATCATGTTTTTCCTTTTGGTGACTCATCCCAAATAAAGCCACTACCAGGAATTGGGCCAGTTCACACGAAGGGATCGAAAGGGAACCCTTTGCCGATCCAGAAACCCCAAGCTTTTTCAGAGGCGAGGCAACATCCTATATGGCCCTTCCAAAAGAGGGCACTGCAAAAATCAGAAAGAGGGTATCACGCCGAAGCTACACCACCCCAACCCCCACCCACCCACATCCCCCACCCACATCCCAAAACCGAACCGTGTGACCCGCCAAACCGCCGATTTCGCGCCACAGGCCTCCTCTTGTGGCAACTCCGGGAGCTGCGCGCTCGCCCGGAAGAACCGGCTCCAGCGCTTTGTCTCCGGCACGGAGTCCTGGCTGCCATTTCAAACGGGACGAACCAAAACAAAACAATGGCTCACCTCATTTGCTGGCTTTTCTCAACGAATTCGGGGGTACCTTCCCCACCTTACCCCCAATTGTTGAAACGAAGTCGCTGGGACCTGCCCCACTTGGCTTTAAAAGGAACGGTTCAAACCCACCACCAACTAAGGGTTACCTGAATGGTAAGGCTGATTGCTCAGAATGGTTGGGTTAAGCTATCCGGTAAAAATATTCTGAGCAGTTTGAGCACTTCCCTAAAAAGGCGGGGAGGAGGAAATAGTTAGTGGGAGATTAATATAACCATGGTTGGGTTAATCCAACCATTGCTTACAGCTCACAGAAGGCAGTAAATGGGGAGTGAGTGTCTTTTTGGGGGAACCCATTCAAATTGTGCTTTTCCTTGCTTTAAAGAAAAACCACCAAAAAGGAGTACCCAAAAAAAGGAGAGGCACACCGACCACATATTGCTCGCTCACGTGGAACACACCAGCCTGGGGCGTGTCCAAGTGCTCCTCCCCGCCTTGGATCTCCCGAGCGACCGAGCGACCCCTCCTTCCTGCGGTATGGCGGGAACAGCTCGGGTCTTGGCTTCCAAAGACGCGTTCACGACCTGTAGGAAGTAGAAGCAGAGGACCCCCTTTGACCAATACAAGATGAAAACGTGGTCAATAGGAACGGCTCGCTTTGAGGGTTTCCCAGACCTCCCAAATGCCAGTCAACTTGTTGCTTCAGCTTTAGCACGACGCACAACATGTTCAAACACCTTTGGAATTAAACAAACTTTGGTTCTTCCGTTGTCTCCGTTGTCTTCCTTAAGGGGCTCAGCAAACTGACCCTGACATTCCGATTTCTCGCTGGCTGAGGCCCCCGGCTGAAGGGCAGCCTGGCATCCGTCTCGAAGTCGTTCAGCAACGCTGGGCTCAGCGGGACTTGCTCGAGCTGCAAGCTCAGCGCCACCTTCCAGGAAGCAACACAACACACGACTTGTACAGCTTATGTTGACCCCATACTGTGGATGGACGAAATCCATTTCGCACCACCTACGAAACCCTGGAATGATGGGTCCCTATATACCAACAAACAATGGTTTCCAATGGTTTCAAAGTGGTGCAGGATTTCGTCCATCCACAGTATCAATCAACCCCAGTTTATTAGTATGCCCTCCAAAAGTGGTCTGATTCCCCACTAACATCAGGGACACCCCCTATGAATAAAGTGGGGTTGATTAATATGGGGAGAACATCACATTCAATCAGTGCGCAGCTACATAAGTTGAACCCTAAACACCCGTGTACAGCTACATGCGTAAGTTGAACCTACAAATCGGTGTACAGCTACATGCTTAGGTTAACCCTAAAAATCCGTGTACAGCTACATTGCGTGATTTGAACGATAGAAATCCGTGTTCAGCTACATGCGTGGTTTGAACCCCTAAACATCTTTGTGCAGCTACATGCATGATTTGAGCCTCGAAGAATCCGTGCAGAGCTACACGCCTTTTAAATTCATTGTACAGCCACGTGAGTAGCCCCGAAAACAAGTGTACAGCTACTTGCGTGATTTGAACACGAGATGCTTCCAAAACTGTGCTACACATGGACATTGAAAGCCACAAACAAAACGAACTGTTTCTGCTTTCCTTTCGGCATGAGAGGACATCCAAGCCGGGGGCATCTAAGTTGTGAGTGGGAGAGGTCCGTAGTTCTTGATTTCAGGGTGCGACAATCCTGGATGAGTTGAAAAATCGGAAGCACTTTCTTGATAGGCATAAATGCAAATGTCCACCAAAGGGTCCTCTGAAAAAGTAATTCCCCGACACTGAGGAGGTCCTAAAGAGTTCGACTGTCTGTTTAGCAGGCATGTCTCACAGAATTGTCATGTGATGCAGGCTACCCTTTGTTGCAGAATCATCTAAATCTGCCATGTGCCATAACTGGCCCAGTTATTTGACCATCAAAGTCACCTAACTTGCAGGAGTTTCAAGGGAAACAGCCCCACCCCAACAAGTGCAAATAATGACCCAACCGCCCCAATTTCGGACTTTGATACCCCAAGCAGCCATCAAAATAGTGACCCCATCAGCCAAACTGGCTGGTGATTGGACTCCTTTGCTCATTGGTAGGTGGGTAAGCCAAAGCATCCGTGTCGGAACCCAAGCGCCCGGGCCGTCTGGCCGCCGACACTTGTCCAGGTCCCGGAGCCCACGGGCGGCAAGTCCGCTTGGGACTTGCGCATAAACCTCCGAGTGGCGCTCGGATTTTTGGACACTTTGGACGGAGGCGATGAAGGGCAAAATGGAATACCGGAACAGGTTTTCCGAGTGGTTGCTGGGTCTACAACTCTGGTAAAATGGAATGTTTATTCTTCTGAATGGTTGGTGGGAAGAATACCCGGACCAAATGGGTGGGCATAAATTCCGTCAAAATGGAATGATTGCCCCTTCCAAATGGTTGCGGGGCATTCCCCAAATGTCCAAAGGGCCCCCAAGTAGAATTTACACCCAAGGCGATGTGTGCCCTGTGCGCAAGGAAGCCAGACACAAGCCAGAAAAAGAGGCTGCACAGCTGAGCGGCTGATTCACGGCTGGCATCTTACAATTGCCTTTTTTTCCGGGTTGGTACTCCCTTGCGCATCCCACCCCCAGTTGGTTGCTCCCAAGACCCGGTCGGCGCAAGCTGGTAGAAAGTCACCCAGCGAATTCCGCGAGCAACTTTCTACCCACGCGGCTTGGTCATCTTTCAGGCACGGCTCGGAACAACCCTGCTCAACTTCGGACTCATCCAATAAGATGCCAAAGCGAGCCCTGCCACCAGTGCCACCCACCCCCACCAACCCCATCCCCTCCCACAAAAAACACACACACACCCTTCACACACACCCAACCTCTTCCCCCCCAACCCTTCCCCCAACTCCTTCCCCCAACCCCTTCCCCCCCAAGCCCTTCCCCCAACCCCTTCCCCCAACCCCTTCCCCCCCAACCCCTTCCCCACACCCCCTCCCCCCCCCAACCCCTTCCCCACCCCGCCCCACCCTGCCCCACCAACCCCCCAACCCCACCCCTCCGCTTGCGCCGCGCCGCTGCCGGAACACGGCGATCCGGTCCAGCCGCTCGTTGCCGCCGAACTGCAGCGCTCCCGCCGCCACAGCGCTCACCGCCAGCAGTGCCCAGAGCTCCCGCAGACCGAAGGTCACCCGGGCGTCGGGCCTGGCCGAATTCCCCCGAGTTCCCGGAAAGCGCTGCCTCCAGAAGCGGCCGGGGAAACGCGCCAAGGGCAAACACATGCAAACAGGGGTGGAGGAGTGGGGGTGCGGGGGGTGGGGGGGAGAGGAGTTGTTGGAGTTGTGGTGGGGGTGGGGTTGAGTTGGGGTTGGTGGTTGGGGCCAGTTTTTGGCTACCCCAAGGTAGACTTGAAACCAGGGGGTCAACACTTGCTGCTGCGATAGGTAGGGAATGTGAGATGCCCAGGGACCCAGGTCTTAAATGAAACCACCAGTTAGATGGCTAAGGGTCGTTCCGTGTCTCATTCCCTGCTGAGCAGCGAGAAAACGGCAGGGGAAACGCACTTTGGGGGTAGAAATGGACCCCTTGCAGATGGCGAAACTGCAACGCTTGGTCCTTGGGATAAAAATGGAAGCACCCCCCCCCTAAACCCATGGCCGCCAACTACCAGTGTCACATGGCCATGATGGGAACCCGAGTACAAGGACCTGGGCTTCTGCAAAAATGACTATTCACATACAAAAAGGAACTAGGGTGACCAAGCGACCTTCATCCCGCCACCCTCGCGGTCAAGAGGGTGCCAGCAGCTACCCCCAAAAGACGGGCCGTGGCCAGAACGGCAGAAAATCTGGCCGACATGACACCGAATTTTGGGACGGATCCAAACTGGCTGCCACAGATTCGTGGCTGAAGCTGAAAAAGTGGCACATGAGGGAGAAAATAGGAAGAGGGGAAGAGGAAGAAGCAGAAAGGAAGAGGGAAAGACAGACTTACTTCCTGACTGGATTGGCCTGAAAAAGTTCAAACTGCTTATTTACCACTGAAATTGTCTTCCTGACAAGTTTAATATCCAGGAACTCCGGAAGTGAGCGTAAATGTTGGTTCGTCCAAAGGCTTAAAGGTGGGTCAAACCAAAGGGCAAGGTCTTCGATTCCAAATCAACTTCACTCAGGGAAGGTTGTGACCCTGCTACATGATTTCAACCATATTAAAACCAGCACGGCACGGTAGGTTTCTCAAACTCGCCCCTTAAAATGGTAACTTATTCGAGACAACCACCTGAAGGGGGCTCTAAGTCTCAAAATAAATCCGCCCCATCTTACCCACCACCCAACACGTTGCGACCCTCAGCCTGGGTCTCGCGGGCGGTGCTCGAAGCTGGGCCGGGGCCTGGTTGAACCATCGAATCGAGGGGACGAAGACCAGACCGGGTGGGTGAGCACGTGGCACGTGGCTCGCTCGCTTTTCGCTTTTGAGGGTATCCCTTTCTGGCGAGTTGTCTGTTTAAACGGAAGCCACCGGAAGGCCTGAATAGAAGGCATATTGAGATGCTTCTCAAAATGCTGTGGAGGGCGAATTTTCCCGAAATCGCGCACCTAACCGCCCAAAATTGATTCCCCAAAGGGTTCTGATTCGATGCCCCAACGTAAATACCGCAACATAGGTCACGAATGGTTTCAGGCATAGTGTCAAAGTGGTGCGAACGGATGTCGTCCATCCACAGCAGGCACCGTCCAAAGGTCGGTTCGCTTTGGGCAGCTGAGCAAATGATGACCCAAATAATTTTCGGATTGCCCACAGCAAATCGCGCGAGCGGTGAAGGGAACAAGGCTTTGTCACTCTAGGAATCACATGGCTTGTACCGGTCTCCTCTTTCCCATGACCCGCTGCTCGTGTTGCTCGCTTGGCGAAGTTGTGTTTTGACATGTCTGCATGTGTATGTGTGTGTGTGTGTTTTTTTTGTTTTAAGGACCGATCCTGCTCAACACAAGCCGTTTCAGGGAAAGGCCTTGAACAAGCACCCACGCCAAAAAGAAATCAGAAACGACTCAGGGAGTTGTCCTGCCTCCCGAAAACCGTCCCGAAACCTAAAGCCAGAAGCCAAACCCGGGATTGGCTACATGCTGCAGGTGCCCCACTGAACAACTTCTCCCCGTGCTTGCCATGCAACACTCAAGGATCGCTCCCTCCGGAAGCTGAGACCGGACCTGCTTTACCGTGATCTCGCCCGGACGTGTTGCGTCGGAAAACGCCACCAGGGAAAAGCTGTTGCATCCTGTGGGGTAGGCATTCCAACCTAGAGCCGGCAGGGCCCCCCCCCAACCAACCAAAGCGGGCCAAAGCCCGGGCCTCTCGCGGCTGCAAAGGCCTCTCCCTGTGCTTCTCCTAGCGAGTTGCCAACCCCAAGTAACCCCGAGTCGAGTGGCAGTCTCTACGAAAACCCAGACACCCTCCAAACAAACGTGAAACCATACTGTAGATGGTTTGAAACCATGACAAAACCATTGTTCGTTGGTATCGACAGGGGAATCATCATCTCAGGGTTTCTTAGGTGGTGCAGGATGTCGTCCATCCACGGTATGGGCCTCCTAAGGAAACATCAAAGGAAAATGGAAGCCAGAAAAGTGCAGGCAGGGTACATTGGTTGTCTAGAAGCCTTGAGAGGTTGATGACCATCCTTGCCAAACCCGAAAGGGACCTTGCCAAAATGGTAGTGGGCTGCAGCAAAGCCTCTGTTTGCGTTCCCTTCAAAGAGGACCGGGGTCGGATACCAAGTTAACTCACCTCATGGGAATTTCATGAGCATCGACCCGCGGTTGCTTGTTTAGGGCTCCAGCATTCGCCAGAGAAGGGGGCAAAGCAGATTCGTCTTGGAATATATACCCTCCCTCCCACTAACCGGAACGCGGTGAAGGATCTCAACGAGAGAATGGTCTCCGCCGACACCAGCCATGTTCCATGCAGGCAGGCAGGCTCTCTCTTAAGTATCCCTTGCCCGATGGCTTCATTGGCTGTGCTTGAGACGGTGGCAACGGGTCTACCCTCAGACTGGCAACCAGGGAGCCAGGACGGCCACGTCTCTTTCAGACTGCTTGGGGAATTGAGTGCCGACCCCGGCAAGTCTTCGACTTGCAAAGGGGTCCCTGCTTTCCCCAGAATGCCAAGATATCCTTCGGATCGCCTGTTCTGAGTCCTACCCTGTAATGTTGACCCCGGATCAATAAACTCCTGTTTAGGTGTCCCTGGTTTGAGTGAGGATTTGTCACTTTTGGAGGGGAACACCCCCATATTAACAATCAGGGGTTTATTAATCCGGGGTCAACATTATATTCGAACAAACCCCCTCCCCACTCCGAGTGGATCGGCTCTCCCGCCTCGGCCTCCTCGCGTGTGGCTGGCCCCGGCGTGGAGGTGCGCTTTCTGGCCCCCTCGCGCTCGGCAGCTGGCAGCGTCATCCCGAAGATCCGGCTCTCCAACGCACGCGCAGCGGGGGTATTGCGCGCGGCGTAGGCGGGAAGGGCGAATTCGGAAATGCAACTCGGCGCTTGTTGAAATCCGTGCTCTCAAGTTGGGTGTCCTGTGCCACGTTTCTGGGCAGATTTGGCTCCAAGCTGGTCTTGTGCGTCTTGTTTTGGGGGCCCGTGTTTCTTTGACCTTTTGCAAGCTGCCGCAGGAGCTGTGGAGCTGTGGGCAAAGTGCCCAGAAGCGTCACGCGATGCACGCGCACACCTGTGGGCAGCCCTCGAGCCACTGCGGCATGCACGTTCCATTGAGGCTTGGGTACCACTGCGTGCGCACATCCCTTCGAAGCAAGATCCCTCAAATTTGGCAATTCCAAGTACTGCTTGAAACCACCTTTCTCTATGACATCTACTTGAAACCTCTGGGTCGGGGTTCCGATCCCACATGGGGCGCCTTTTTTTCCAGCGGACAGATCGACTCTCCAGCTTAGACCTTGAAGCCGCGAGAGCGACCTGGGCTGAAAGCTCCAAGCGCAAGGGGAAGCTGAATCTAAGGCGCCAAGTTTCAATCTCATGATCATGCGGTAGGATCGGTTTAATCGTACCACACAGCCTCGTTATGAGTACTCTACAGGACTCGACAAATCTCATAATGGCGAAATGAACAAAGCTTGGCCGTCCAAAATTTGGTGAGCGGCTGTCGCATTTTGGTTGCCTTGCCTGACCTCCAAAGTTGCTCGTTGGTTTTCGGTAAAATGGCCATCCCCCGGTCGGTTGCTCCTCCAACCAGCCATTCTTATGCCCAAGCGCACAAGCCAAGCTCAGAAGTTGGGCTATCCGTGTCAAAGGGTTCCAGCATGTTCCAACACATCAGTAGGATACTGCGAATTCCCAGCAGCAATCGGAACCAATTCGTTTGTTCGAACTGCTTGAGCTACTTCCCCTCACCAAGTTGCGGCGGCCGCGGGCCTTCTCGAACCTTGGGGGGCACTTGAATCCACTGACTGGAATCGGCTCGAATCGGTAGGGCGTTGAGTGCCCGGTAGTCTGACACAAGGACAGGGTTGCTCCAAGGTCGGCAAGTGGTCAGAACTTTGGCTGAAAGGAAAAACCAATTGAAGCCGTGCAGTGTTCGACCGATTGATATCTTCGTGAGGCTCAAAGCTGCGCAGCAGGGTCCAAAACGTGATCCTCACATTTGAAGGGAAGTGACCCCCAGAAAGTCTTTCTACCACCTATCAAAATGTACCCTATAATGGACACAGTTCAGGCCACACCTCCTACTTCTCACCCCCTGAACAAGTATATGTTACCTCTAGCTTGCACGTGACGTAGTCAGTGTTCCAGTGCACTGTTTGATGCTTCCATAAAGAGGAAATACCAGAATTCCCGCTCAATGATTGGACCTAAAGATCTTCCTCAAGGCAAAATGTGCTTGGGGCATATGTCCCGCGCGGACATCTTGGCCTTCTCAGGAAAGACGTATTTTTGCCAACTCCAAGACAAGTGCTGTTCTGACCAAGCACACTTGGAACTTGGAACCCTGGTGTTGACTCACGTCCAAACGTCCGCAACAAGAGCTCCCTAATCAGAGGCAGGTGGCCAACCTAACCCCGGCTCCGGAAAACGCGCCCGATTCTTTCTGCGTGACGACGTTTGATTGGAGCTCCCTTGGCATAATGCTCACAGAAGATAACCTGGCATGAAGAATTGTCCACAGCTATGCAGCACGTGGATCCGCCCAAAAATTGGTTGGAACCTCATTTTGGATGCATTTTACAGGGAAACTGAAGGGAAAATCAATCACCATCTTTACCGTCCTCCCTGTTTACCGGTGGGTTGCACGGATTTTGCTGCCCAAAAAGCCGCTTCTTACAGGATTCCTCGAACCAAACCACCCGCTTCGTGAAGGCATCCTCCAAGTCAGCTGGTGCAGGTGATTTTCCATCCCCAAAATTCGTCTCCTGTAACTTGGTTGCTGCAACCCCTCTGCCAAAGTTGTTTAACTTCTCGTGGGTCCAATGGAAAGCTGATTGGGTCAACCAAGAAGTTGAAGTCCAAAGATCCGTTACCAAGTGGCCATAAAGGTACAAAAGGCGACACCATGTTTTTGCACCATGGCCAAAAACAAAAGAACCTCTAAAGAAATCAAACATAGCCCAAAAAAAACAAAGATGCAGATAAGAACCTAAAAAGAGGTCAAAAGTAGACCCAAACAAAAAAACAAAACAAAGATGCAGATCAAGGCAATTGGACTTTCCTAGGGAAACTACGCGGACCGCCCTCTTCTTCGCAGCCCGGAGGCTTGCGGCCCTTGGAGCGCACGTGCGGTGCCGTGGTGGAGTTGGGCACGCCGGGGGCCTGAAGGCGAGATCCGCGGCTGGAGGTGCGAAGTCGGGCGCTGGGAAGTTGGGGGTTGGAGGGGGAGGGGTGTGGCTGTACTTAGAGGGGCAGTGTACGTCAGGTAAGTGGTTAGGCCTGGTGAGATAACCTGAATGGAGACTTCATACCGTTTCTGGGTAACCATGGTCATTACCCACTTGCTAAGTACCCCCCTTGAAGGTGTGGCCCTGAGGCCTTTGGGTAGGCCTTCTCTCGCCAGCTTCAAAACTATGCCTGCGTGGCTGTTCTCTTTTGGCTCCTGAGCCGCAATGCTTTTGGGGCCTTCCCTCACCAACAACAGGGACAGGCAACTTCGTGACTTCCCCGTGCCAAAGTGTTTGAAAAGGAAGGTTGCGAACTTGCTTAAACAACCAGGCTGCCTGGCCTCGGTTGGCTTTAAAGGAAATCAACAGTGGTCAGCCATGTTTCAAACAGGTTGGCCCAACCCTGGCTTCAGCTTCCAATACTGATTCAGAGCGTCCTGGACTCACCATTGGGATCGAATGGCTCCCTTGCTATGGCTCTGAATCAGTATATGACTATATGGTTCATGTCGCTGTTCCTTTGATCCTAAGGTAGTCAAGAACCCCGACCCAAAGAGGTGCTCCTAAACTGGTTCCCATCAAAGAATCCCGCGATCCAGATGCATCCCTGCTTCCCCTCGTATCACACCTCGCCTCTCTTTCTAACATGTATGCAGCTATTGTAGCACGTCAGACAAAACATGTGTATATTGGCAAATGTATTTATATATCTATATATATATAATTACACACGTTTGTGACACAAAGTACACGCGTGTACGTACGCAAAAGTGTATATATATATATACATATATATATATATATATATATACATATATATATGTAACTATGTGTATACATATATGTAATATATGTAATATATATATATATACATTTAGATACATACGCGCGTGTCTTCACCGCATCGCACCCTCCCGGCCTTGCCGAAGTGGCGCTCGGCCTTCCGGGCCTTCACGGGGCCCCGCAGCAGCACGGTGCCCTTGCCCAAGGGGCTGCCTCTCACCGCGAGCTTCGGACGCCGCGAGCTTCGGAGCGCCGAGGTGAGGGCCGCTTTTGGTGACTCGTGGGGACGGAGGTGCTGCGGATGGTGGCGAAAAACAGAGAAATCGCGACACCAAGCTGAGAAACCCAACGGCTTCTGATTCGATTCCCATGCAAATACCAACGAACCTTATGGTTTCAACCATGGTTTCGAAGCGGTGCGAAATGGATTTCGTCCATCCGCGTATGGCTGCGGTGGGCAGAAATAGGGTTACGCGCATTAACCTGAGAATTTCAAGGTTATCACAAATAGCCAGGTAAGAAGTGAAATCAGCTTCCTTCGTGGTTTGGAAAACCCCCTGGTTCTTCATGAAAAACCCCTTAACCTCCAAACCAAGGTGGCTGGTACCCAAACTGGGTTGCCCAGGTAAGTGGAAACGTGGACGATTTAACCTGCGGTCCAATTCCTGGTGGTGGCAAATTTTGACCCGTGCCCAAGTGGCTGTGTCTTGTTTTTAGAATTGTTTGCCACCCCCCAAAAAACGCCTTTCTGTTGTCCCTTTGGCTGTCCCTTTAGAGACAATCAACTGGTACCCAAAACAAGACACTCCCAAATGGTGTTAAGTCGCAGATTTCACCAATCGCATGCGCCCGCCGGAAACGTCGAGAAATGTTGCAAAACCTGCAACAACATGCATGACCCACAACATGGATGGTCGTTTTAGCCAAGGGAAAGCAATGCAAAACAAGGCAAAGAAAGGGAAAGCAGGGGAAACCAAGGCAAAGCAAGGGAAACCAAGGCAAAGCAAGGGAAACCAAGGCAAAGCAAGGGACACCTTGAAAACAGAGAAAACCAAACACAGGAAAATTGACGTGGTTACATAACACTGCACAAAAATGCGAGACACGTGCATGGTATGCATTGTGTATGCACTATGTACGCATTATGTATGCCCTTGTGCATGCATGGTGTACGCATTTTGCATGTGTTTGGAAGGTATCCAGGCCAAATCCAAGAATGCAACAATATGCATACCAAAATGCATACATAAGGCATACAGCATGTATCCACCATTGGATCATGCATAACATGCATCAAATGTCAAACACAATGAATACAAACAGCAGTTTGAAGGCACCATGCCAGAGCCAAAAAAGCATACAAAGCGCACACAAAAATGCATCCTGCGCCGGAGCACAAAATGCATACAATGCATGCATGTTGTATGCGTGTGGAAGGCATACAAAGTGCAAACAAACATGCGTGCTGCACCAGAGCCAAACATGCATGCAAAATGCACACAAACTTGCTGGTTGTATGCCTCTTGTATGTTGCGTACAACATGCATGCAACATAGCGTACAAAAAGCATACAAGCACCATGCACGCAATTCGCCTCTCACCTAATGCATACAAAATGCATACAAGCCAGAGCCCAAAATGCAAACAAAGTGCACACATGCATGAAATGCACCTGTCTCCCGCAACGAAGTCCAACCCAATTCAAGGCCCGAATCCCCAGCCGGCATCAACAGCCCGCATCCAGAGGAAACACAACGTAGCATCGCCAGCACACCCAGCAGTACCAGCATCATCTGCACGCACTGGTAGCTAGTATCCAGCAAAACCACTGAGTTGGGTCAGGTCGCATGATTGTTGTGCTAACAACGCAAAACAACGCTCTTCATTTGTTTCTTTTTACGCCTTTTCAACCCCCCCCCCAATCACCTAGCACAACTCCGTGACTTGCCGTCACAAGTTCGGTATACTCCGCTTGACGCGAATGCGTCTTAAGCTCAAGACTGCGAATCGCTTGTTTGAGGCCCAACTCCCTGCCCTGGTGAGAAGAATGATGCGGGTTGGTTTTTTTTCTTCTGCCAATGCGCGGCACGGTTTGTGCCGGGGTGCGCATTGCCAGCGTGTCGAAGGTCAGGCACTCGCCGCCGTTCTTGACAATCCTGACAGGGAGCCGAGCTGATACCTCGGGGGGGGATTGCAAAGTGGGGCCTCCGATGCTCCAAATGGGCGAATGCATCATGAAACTGCTCAAAAAGGCTGACCCCCAAAAACGATTTGGCGGGAATGGAAGCTTGACTGCAAATGCACAGGTGGGAGCAGGGTCCAAGCAAGCCGGAGCTACAACAACACTAAAGTGGACCTGGAGAAACCATCACTGAATCACGACTCCAAGCAAGATAATGCATCGGTCATGCAACGGAACAGCCAACTGGAACAATCACATCTCCTCCTATGTCCCGATTGACTAGTTGGTTCTTCTGACTGACGTGGGTGTGCGCTTCTTTCAGGCCCATTTTGAGCCGGTTGAAATGAAAGCCCACGGGAAAACCAAAATCAATTTTGACCCTCCCCCTCATTGACACACAGACCCCATGCGTCACAAAAAGTCCTCGCCCGCGCAGTCTCGCAGAAGCCAAGAGCGCACACCTGAAAGTGGAAACTTCCAGCTTACCCTCCTGGTGGAACAGGGGTTTGGGGTACAAAAAGACACACACGCACACACACACACACACACACACAATCCTAGTCATGGTAAGGAGAACAAATGAATAGTGACCTGAATAATTGGAACAGGGTTTAGGGGTGCCAAGCAAACACATTGCTGGACACCGTTGAAGGGGTCAACAACTAGAAATGATTCTGCCCCCAACCTGACTGGGATCATGTTGCCGAAAGGGATGCCTCTTTTGAATTCTCTGTTTGCGAAACTTGCCAGTTCTTTACAAGCAAGCGCCCGATGCAGCCAGTGTACAAGCAGCTGCATCCTCCAAGAAAGTTATATCGCCATTGTCCACGGTTGGAAAGCACTCACTCACCGAGTGCGTGTTAAAAGTAGTTGGACCAGCCGGACACAGTTTGCTTCACATACCTTGCCCGGTTTTAAGGGGCAGCCAAAAGAAAACGCCACCCCTGGGGTCCGAATCCCAAAACAAAGACGAGCCACCCAGAAGTGTTTTGCTGATTTTGTGGGCTTTGACCCAGGCCCCTTGGCCAAGCTGGAGACCATGCTGCTGTGGGGTTTCGGATCACCCCAGAAATCGCTGCCAGGCCTTTCTTAGTCGCAAGCTCCACAGCTCCAACATCCATTCCCATCCAACATGGAACCCGGGGTGGTGGGTTCCACAGTGGAGTTGGAGGGGGGGAGGGGTTGGGTGCGGAGACTTTGAAGCCAGGTTGAGTCATGACTTTCGGCTCCCCTGACAAAAAAGACCGATTGTATGGACCCACATGGACATTAAATTTAATTATATAGGGCCCATTTGGTGGACGTCATATAGCTGCGGCTCAATGTCCATCAACTTGTGAGATTGCTCCGTGAGGCAGCCCACATTTCATGGCTGGCAAGTGCAGGTGTCATCGTCTTTGTTTTGGTCGAAAAAAGAAAGGGGCCCAACTCCCCCTCAGGAAAAGCAACCCCCGAATATCTGCTAGATCCTCCAGTAGAGAGGTTAAGCCAAGGGTACCAACTTTTTTCTGTAGTCTATTCTAGTAGGGGAACCCTCCCCACCAAAAAAGGGTGAGAAAGGGCACCAATTGCTGGGGGACCTAGTCTGGGCGGTTCGCATCGAACCCGACGGACATTGAAGGAACCCTGCCTTCATGGCCGGCACATCGTAGACGCGCTTGTCATCGGTCACTTTGGCTGGCGGATCGGAAGCTTCGGCACCGCCGAAGCGGCCGATGCGTTTTTTGTTCTTCTTTTTTCTTTTTCTCTCGAACATCGGAGTGTCTCGAAAGAGGAATCGGATCAAAAAGCAAAGAAGAAAAATAATGGTCACCCCGATGAACCCCAGTGCCTTGGCCAGGCAATGCAATGAAGGGGATCGGATCCCATGCTCAAAATCTGCGATCCGTTTCAACCAGCTCCGAACTTCCGGCTCCTCCCCAAAAAGAATTTCGATTCACCCCACTCAGGCACGATCTAGGGAGCCCGTGATTGTTTTTAAGAAAGAAAAAGACCACAAAGGAAGCCAACCACCTTTCACTGCTGTGTTGGACGTTCAAGGGAAAGTACCACCAACCACCTCCAACTCGTTTTTGGAATGCTATGCTATTCAAGGGAAACCAAACGGAAACTCTCGCCCGGCCCGAATTTCGATAAACACCCCATGTCGGTATCAGGAAAAAGCCCTCCGCAGCGCCTGCCACCACGGCGACCTTTCCCTCCTCGGAACCCGGTCGGACTTGGGGGTTGGACATCACCCGCAAAGCTGCGCCAAAGTGGGTCGCTCATTCCCACGAAAAGTTTCTATCGCTCGGAGGTGGACTCCGGGCAGGTATCACAAAAGGTGGCAAAGCCCAATGTGCCACAAAGGTGTCAGGGATTTCCTACCAAAAAAAACACTGAGGTGAGAACAGGTGAAAAGGTGAGGTGAAGTGACGATAAAGAAGCAGGTTTCTCTTTTTTGCCCCGGGCCTATGGGGGTTCGAGGTCTCGAGCTTATGTACTGTTCGAATAAAGAATATATATATATATATATGGCCATGGGGCATAACCTATGGCTCCAGTTTGGGGTGGATGAGCATCCATTTGCCACCTATTTTGATGTTCACCAGGGGTACAGGGTTTTGAGCCACAGCCATACATACATATATATATATATATACAAATATATCCTTGCCTAGGCAGTTGCTCTTGGTGGCAAGACTGGCTTTGCCAGGAATTGGTCCCAAAAGCCACGCCTTGAGACGGAGATTTCGGTCTCTCCAAATCGGAGGCCTTCCAAATGGTTGGCCTCCGGTTGCTTTCACTAGCCATCCAAGGAAGACCCTCACAAAAGGACAGACCGCATGTGTGGCTTTTCGAATCAGAGCCCCAAAGGACACCCTGACCATCTGAACTTGTGAGGCACCGCTAGCGCCGCACCAGCGAGCTTGCGCATGCGAAGCTGTCCATAAAATTGCAAAAAGCCTCCTTTTGGAAGGTGCTTCAAGGTGAAGCTTCCAATCTTTGCCACGCATCTGTCTTAGGATCGCTTTGGGGGTGGGAAACCCTATACCAACCCTGTAGCCACCCAAAACAAATCTCAAACCAATCTTAAACCCACTCAGACCAGCACTAAACCCAACGAAACTGTTGCCGCCTTTGAGGCCGAGGAAACGCCGTCCTTGTTCTTCATGTTCTTGATGAGTTTGGAGAGCGACAACGGAGGCCGGTTCCTGGCCGCTGGTTTCGGGTCTTCGTCTGCAAAGTCTTCGTGTCTTTGCTTGCTGCCCCTTTCTTGGGGTGGCGATCAAGAGAACGACTATACCATTCTGGGTTGGGGCGTGACTTGTTGTCTTGTTGTTGTTAGAGTTGCTCAAGAGTGGATCAAAGGGAGTGCTCGCTTCAAGACACGCTGTGTGTCCATGGCACAGAGACAGAGCTTCCGGGTTTGCATTGTGATGGCTAGAATGAGGGAACTCACAGCGATCAATCAAAGGCCCTCAAAAACAAGCTGAATCATGTGGAAACCCTCTCAAAGGCGGTCCCTCCAGGTTCCCTTAAAAGGGTGAAAACTTCTTGCTACCGCCTATCGCCCACAGTAAGAGTCCATCACAAACGCTGGATCTTCGATCGAGGATCCTTTTGTGTGGCAAACGTCGCCATGATCAATCGAGGGAGTTGCGGATGATAAGCTTCGAGACGTGAGAAGATGCGCATGGCGAGCGATTGAAGTGAGAAAACAGATGGCCCTGGCAAATGGGGCATAAAACCCATCTAACCCACCATCTAGTTCTCACGCCAACCCGAGGACACCTGTGCGTACCCTGCCTGTTGGACATGTTCAAGCGCTTGTAGATGACCTGGCCCAGACGATCGGCCCTTGATTGGTGGACACAAAAGATCATTTCTTGTCCACGTGGACGTAAGAACTCACGCTGCCCCAATTCGGCAAACGATTGTGCGTACAAAACCCAATCGCAAATCATAGACGTGGAACTCCCAAGCAATGGGCACCCCAGATCAATGAACTCGGCCTATTTAGGGGTGTCCCTGCAAAAGTGGTCCGGATTCCCACTAAACGGTGACACCGCCCTATTAATCAACCAGGCAAAAGCACCCAAGCCAACGCCGCAAGTGGATATGTCTTTGTCTCAAAACTAGGGACCCCCCAAAGTAAAGTGGGGTTCCTGTTGGTGTCTCTTCAAAGCCCGACAATCGAAAGGCTCAGCTCCGCGCCTTGTTGAACTTGGACTCAGTGCGGCGCGCCAAGAACTTGTAGAGCTTGCATAGCAGCAGCAGGTATGGATTCCTTGGGGCTTTAGCACGAGCTGTACGGGTGAATGCCCTGCAAATACGAAGCAACTAGGAACCAAGACATATATATATATGTCTATGCGTATTAATAAAAATCAACATCAAACATCGGACGCATTCTGGAGCTCAGGGGTGCCAAACACTGAAGAATTTTCAGAAGCGAAAGCCAGGGTTTGAGTTTCACAGCGTCAAAAGGGGAGGCCCTGTCAGAACCGGTGGAGAACCAGGGAGCAGTGACCACCTGCGACGAGTGGATCAAACTGCATTGAGTGTCGCCCAACCTGTGAGCAACAGCGGGCGAGCGGGAGGAAGCCAGTGAGCATGGCTGACGAACCCCCGAATCTGCCGCAGCTCAAGCACTGGGAGGTTCCGGGCCTTGAGCCTCATCATAAAACAGAAATAATAACAAGAACCGTAAAAATGACAATGACAACTGCGGTGTGCAACAACTCACCGTACCTTTTTTCCCGAAAGCATCGCGAAGGGTTCTTCCGGTGCCTTATCACACAGCTAAACTTACACAAGCCAACTTGCACGAGCCAACTTGCTTGAGCCAACTTGCACAGCCAACTTACACGAGCCAACTTGCACGAGCCAACTTGCACGAGCTAACTTGCCGGAGCCAACTTGCATGAGTCAACTTGCACGAGCCAACTTACACGAGCCAACTTGCACGAGAACAACTTGCACGAGATATCACACAGCCAAACTTGCACGAGACATTTGGACACGAAAGTAATTAGTTAGTGTCTTAAGGCGGCGCGGTGGGACCGAACCCACCCTGCGAAAATGACACCCTCTTCGGGGATTAGCGTGGTCGATGTCCAAAAACTGGGGACTTTTTACAATTTCTGATTTGCCCGCGCGACCCTCTGCGGGGATTGGCGTGGTCGATGTCCAAAAACTGCAATGATTGAGGACTTTTTACGATTTCTGAGGTGCGCGCGCGACCCTCTGCGGGGATTGGCGTGGTCGATGTGCAAAAACAGAGGACTTTTTACGATTTCTGACTTGCCCGTGTTTCAAGTCGGAACGCGGGCTTGGGAGTTTGTCTTGTGGTTACGCCCCGGGCTCGAATCCTGCTTGGTCTCCGCGGCCTTTAAGTTAGGAAGTCAGCAGCGCGAAAATGGCTCACACAGGGCCATTCGTAGCTCCGGCTCAAATCGAAAGGTTGCCATGTTGCGGTCAGCGCTGCACGCAGAGAACTTGCTCGGAGAACTTCCTCATAGAAACTTGTCCCGAGCTTGCGCAGCATACTTTTGCGTCGCGCTTGCGCGTCGCAACTTGCTTAGAGCACTTGCGCCTGCAGAGCAACTTGCGCTGAACACTTTGGCCGAGCACTTGCGCAGAGCAACACTTCAGCTTATCAGTCACAGAGGGGCAAGCTTTGCAGATATCCGCGGTAGCACACGCGCACGCACGTGCGCAATTGTGACACACACACACACACATGTCGGCTTTACTTGCTTTGACCTGCCGTGGCAAGAGTTGAGACATGCGGCAGGTGGGTGTTGCATGCAAAAGGCACGCACGCACGCACGCACACGCACACACACGCACACGCACACGCACACGCACACGCACACGCACACGCACACGCACACGCACACGCACACGCACGCGCACGCGCACGCGCACGCGCACGCGCACGCGCACGCGCACGCGCACACACACACACACACACCCACCCACCCACCCACCCACCCACCCACCTACCTACACCCACACACACACACACGCGCGCGCACACACGTGCACACACGTGCACACACACACATACACCCACGCACGCACACCCACACACACACACACACACCCACACACGCACGCACACGCGCGCGCGCGCGCAACACCAACTCTTGAGCAACCACTCCACTGGCACCCCTGCATGTCGGCTCGCTTTGCTTGTCTTTGGTCACTTTCCATTCTGCTTTCGGGCCCATCGGTGTGCAACAATTCACCGTACCTTTTTAGGTTGGAGGTCGGCGCAATACAATATTCAGGGAATCAACCTCCCTCAAAATCCAAGCCTGAGCCAGACCAAGAAAAGAACAGGAGCCAGCCGTTCCCGACAAGCATCAGCTTGCAGTCGCATCGGCTTGCCCGTGTGGCGGGGGTGATCAATTAAAAAAATAGGAAAAAAAACTAATGTGGCAAGACCAAAGATGGCGCTTTGCCTAGGCAGCTTTTGCGCGGCTCTGATTAGGGATTCACCTGGCTTCTTTGAGTGCTTGCTGACTCGCACTGTCTTGCGCATCGCGCATGTAAGGACAAAAAGCCACGCATCTAGATGCGGCGATTTGAAGATGAGACTCCATAACGCACCTGGGAAAACTAGCAAGTTCCCGTGAGTGTGGAAAAATTAAAAGGCCTCGATGGAGTTGTTGACCAAACAAACCATGCCTTCGTTTGCAACCAGCGGCCAAGGCCAGCCGAGAGTGGAGCTTTTATGGTTGGAACCGTCGTGAATTCTCAGGCCTTGCCTCCCAATCATAGAAGCTGACACCACAAGCTGGAGAAAGACTGCTTTCTCTTTTGGGGAACCACTTTCATTGTCGGAAGGAGGGTAGGATGGTTTCAACTGTGCATTTGTATGCACATGGCCAAGGTCAGCGAAGGCCGCCAAACCAATGTGAGCAAGGAAAGGCTGGCCCCTTTATTCATCCCGTGGCAACCTGCGAGCCAAGTCAAAATGTCTGGAACACCTTGCACGCTGACAAAAAACAAAAACTGTCCAACAATCAATCAGAACCACTTCTCTGGCAGAGAAAAATGGAAGGGAGTTCCCCCCCTTGCACCAGGTGTCCCAAACCCCTTTGGAGCCAGCACCCCCTTCTCTAAAGCCATCCAATGATCACTGATCTCGCCAAGATGCTCCGACTTGATCTCACCTTGGCGTGAACCACATGCGTTCATTTCAAACTGAGGCGCCGTTCAAGACAACAAGCTTGAAAACGATAGCCTCGCAGAACCAGCATGCCCACATCCTACATGTGGTCAAATTGCTTGACGCGATCACAAACCCGCGATCGTGTCGTTTCAACGTCGCAAATCCGGCGGACTGCAGGCAGGGGGGTTCCCTTTTACTCAAACGATTCTGTTTTTGCCAAAGGAAGTTTAGAAGAAACTTCCGTAGTACGGAAACTAATTGAAGGTAGCTTGCGTAGATAGATAGAATCAGAAGATCAGACAGCGTGCGCGAAAAGATAGCTCTAGCAGATAGCTTTAGGGCTTTGGAACATCAGAAAGCGCGCTCGAAAAGACAGCGTGTGCAGAGAGTTTGCGCGCAGATAAGATGAAGAAAGAAGGAAAGCGTGCGAGAAAACATACGTGGGCCTGTGGCGGGGGAAGCGAACAACAGTGATCCTCTGCGGGTTTTGGCGGGCCTAGGTCGATGTCAACCACCTCTGTCTCTCTAGCGCGGGTGCGGCGCGACTTCGGCGCGGGTGCAGCGCGGGTTCGGCGCAGGTGCGTCGCCCGGCCCAATGTAATTGCAACCCGAAGGTTTCGCAAGGTTTGGATTGCGTGGCAGGCGCAGCACTTTCGCAAGGTCGGGTACAGATTTTGTGGCAGGCACTGCACTTTCGCAAAGTTAGGTGTAGATGCAGATCTCGTGACAGGTCAGGTACAGATTTTGTGGCAGAGGTAGAGAAAGAAAGAGAAAGAGAGAGAGAGAGAGACAGAGAGAAAGAGAAAGAGAAAAAGAGAGAAAAGAGACAAGAAAGAGACAAGAAAGAGAAATGGAAAGAGAGAAGAACGGAGAAGGAGAAGGAGAAAGAGAAAGAGAAAGAGAAAGAGAAAGAGAAAGAGAAAGAGAAAGAGAAAGGGAAAGGGAAAGAGGGAAAGGGAAAGGGAAAGGGACGGAGAAAGAGAAAGATAAGAAATGCAGAAACAGAAAGAGAAACAGAAAGAGAAAAAAGAAAGAAATATAGAAAGAGAAACAGAAAGAGAAAAAAAGAATGAAATATAGAAAGAGAAAGAGACGAGAAAGAGAAATAGACAGAGAAAGCGAAAGAGAACGAGAGAATGTGAAAGAGAAAGATGACGAGAAAAGAAAGAGAATGAGAAACTGACATAAAAGAGAAGATGAAGAGAAAGAGAAGAGCAAGAGAAAGTAAAGAGAAAAGAAAGATAAAGAAAAGAGAAAGAACAGAGAAAAGAAAGAGAAAGAGAAAGTACGGCTTGGCGTCACAGCCGGCCACCCATGGGATACCAAGCAGTTTAGATAGGTTTGCCGTTGGATGATTTACGTTTGGCCAAAGCTTACTCTATTTTACTTTGGCGCTGATGCTGTCGAGCTTTTGTAGCTGGGAGCTAAGGGATTTCTTGGTGCTTTCAGCAGGTAAGACACACACAGTACGGCGCAGCAGCATACAGAGAAGCAAGACGAGGCTTGGCGTCGCAGCCAGCCATCCATGGGAGAGAACGTTACACAGAGAAGCCTTGTCGTCACACCAAGCAGCGGCAATCAACCGAGCAAAAAAGAAAAAAAACGCGCGAAGGCGGGCACGCAAACCCAACAGAGCCTTGCTCTATTTATTCTTACCTGCCCAGAAACTTCCGACCACCCCGAACAAATCCGAATTCTCTCCCTGAGAGGTGCTGTGATGAAGGCAGCATTAAGATTGCCGCTGGGAGGCAGAGACTGGAAACATCAAAATCAATATTTGGGGAAATTAGCGCAAAGATTGCAAATGCAGCAAAAAATGAATATAGTGAATGAACATGCCACATGCAATTGTGAAATGAAATTGCAAACAGATATGGACCCCGTGCACTCCAGTGAATTCAGTTTGCGAAACAAGAACAGTAAGCCAAGGCCAAGTGATACCCCCACATATCCATGTGAGGGAATGGGTCTCCTTCAAACTCCCACATCCTAACTGTTACTCTTTCATAGCCACCGCATAACTCAGCTTCAGTGGCGGAACTTGCTCTTGCTGCACTTGCGGCCTCCCGCGATGATATCCTCAGCGATTCTCACTGTGCGAGACCGGACATCAGGTTTTGGTCGTTCGAATCCATCCGGGCTGTGCTTTTCTTTCGACCCAAAAAAGTGGATTTTGCCTTTCTGTTGGCTTCCCTAAGACCAGGGTCGAAACAACAAAAAGCTGCATGTCCGACTCCGTCTGCTGCCCAGCGGCGATTCCCATGACCCTCGATTCCGCAGAGACGCCGATCCGTCGATCCGTTTTCCCTTGAGCCCAATCCGGCGGTGTTTCAGCACGACCAGCAAGACAGGCAACTCAGAGCCATCGCCTAAGTCCTTAGTGTGGGAGTACCTCAACAAAGGGCCAAATCGCCTCAAAATCGTTGGTCTAAATGTTCCTCAACTTTGGGGGGGAACCAAAGGTGGCTTCCCTTGGATTTGTCACAAACTTCCCGACTCCCAGCCAGTGTCCTATCTGCGGATCCATTCATTACATTTAAGGGGCAGGAGCTTCTGCTACACCTTGGTTGCTGTTGACCCCTCTGCAAAGAACCGACTTGACCAAGCCCTACCTTACCCGACAACCTGCGGGGGGCTCCCAAAAACTGTGCTTTTGGGAGAGGGAAATCGGTGCTTTTGGGAGGGCCAAAAACAGGCACAAGTTGGAGCTCAAAAGAAACACGCATGGCGCCAGCGCTTGGGAGGGAGGAGCGGCTCAGCATGGGTTATTTGGTGACGCAAAGATTCGCAGGCTATGTGTTTGGGGAAGGAGATCCCCCCAAAATAAAACACGACAGGCGTGCGTTGATGTGCAGGCAGGCTAGGAGGGCTCACAAAATCTGCGAGTTTGGAAGGAAATGGGGATGCGGGGGATGACGACCTGCACCACCAGCATCATCAGTAGGGTGAAAAAGCTCAAACAAAGCAAACAGGTGTCCCCCCCCACCCAAATGCGCCCCCCACCCAAATGGAGCTTCGCTCCCCCAAAGAACGCGAGCCAATGGCTCTCGTGATGACCCTCCCAACTTTCACCGTGCATTGCGAAATCCGTCGATTTGGTGTCCCGGCGTTGCTGCCCAGCATGGTCCTCACCGAGGCAGAGGCCTCTCCGCCTCTGCAGGCCACTGGTGGGCTTCGGTGAAAAACCCTCACGCCTTCCCGTTTCCTGATCTTGCCGGGCGTCTCTGGGATTTCCCCCCTTCGTTGCAGTTCACCAGGTGGGTGCCATTGAAGTCCCCACTTTTCAAAAACCCAACAACAAGTCTAAATGGCGAAACCCCTGAATGCGGGCGTCTTTTTTTGGAGGGCACCCTGTTGGGGCTATGTTAAAAAAGGAACCAAAACCGGACGCCGTTTTGGGGTCTTCGGTTAAGACAAACCCATAGGTTCCTTCAAGGACGTCAAAAGCAAGGAGAGTGGTGCGGGTGAATGCTTGCCATCACACGCTTCCAATGCTTCGGGATTCTTCAGGCGAATTCCTCTCCCCTAAAACTGCGTGAGGCAAACCATCTACGACTAGGCACCACATGCCCTTCACGGTTGGTTTGCGACAAAAAATAGAACCATCGAAAATCGGACCGTCCTGGCCAGGGTTTATATGGGTATTTGCCAAAATAGGGACACCCGAAGAATAGGTTCCGTTTGGTTCCCAACCAGGTAAGAAGGGTACCCCCAAAAGAAGATGTTGGCAGTTGAGGGATTCCTGGCGGTTGATGTCCTTTCCGTGTCCTTTCAAAACCTCAAAGGTCCAATTCTTCATAGCCAGGTGCTCAGCCCAGAGGCCATGGGAGAAAAGGCCATCCTTTGGTTTGAGTTTAAAGGGGAACCCTTCCCAAGCAAAGTTGAACAAAGGGTGTGGACACCTGCCCCTTTGAGTCGGCCAGGCGATGCAGCCTCGTTTCAGGAGAAGCGCGGAGCGGCGGAGCGAGCGCCTCGAGCGATTCGACTTGGGCCCCGACAGAAGGTGGGAGTGCCCAGCTCGCCGAAGTTCTTCTCCAGGATTTTGAAGCGGATCACCTCGTCTGGGAAAAAGGACTTTTGGCCACGGGTGAACTTGAAAAAATCTAAGACCCTCGGGTGGACATAATTCGGTAAACATGTCCACCAATCATGTAGGAGGGGTTCCTCAGTTGAAAAACAACAAAGTCGGGGAAAATATGTCGGAACCCCGGAACGAAGCGTAGAATACCTCCAAATCCTCTCGGGGTTGCGCTCCAAATCCTCTCGGGGTTGCGCTCCAAATCCTCTCGGGGAGTCGAATGGCAATCAATCCCCGGGTGAAACCAGGGGAACATGAAGGCGTGTAACCTTTGCTCGAGGAAAATTCCCGTTTGAGGTTGAAACCAAAAGGAGAACCACCGCTTTTTGGTGGGTTTTTCCTAACAGCAAACACATGTGTCAGATACCCACCGCTTTCTGGTGGCTCCCCTTAAAAAAACACATGTGTCAGATATCAGGGTTACCCCAAAGACCGGCAAGTTGGTCGAACACGGAAACCCAAGAGAATCACTGGCCGTTTGTTGGAGGCTCGGAGCAACCCTGTGAGCCCAAGGGCGGGCCAGGCAGTTGGGGCCGGGCCCATCTTAGGAAACAAAGAAGCAAACGGCGGTTGGGGGCCGGCCCCATCTTAGGAAGTTTAAAAAAAGAAGAAGAAAAAAGGAAAGAACAAAAAGTGTTACTAGCCGATGCTTCCCGTGGATTCATGGCCTCTGGGAAGACTTGCCGCTAGCCAGCCCTCTGCTCATCTGTCCAGAAGGGGACCCTTTTGGATTGGGTTCCAACCGAAACCAAGCGGAAGGCAAGTCATGTTTTAGGGTTTCACAAAATGGTGGACCTCCTTCTGGTTGCTGTTCAAAGCGAAACCAAAGGAACCCAACCCCAACAAAAAAAAAGAGTGGCCAGCACCCGCGTTTGGGCAATCTCCATTTGAGGGGCCCACGTTTTGGGACACATGCATGCTTCGGAGATCCCATCCGAGTACACTAAATGGTGTGCCATCTGGGCGCTCTTCGGTCCCAAAAAAATAAGAGCAAGGGTGGAAGAACCTCGGCCAAAACAACACAAGCTGCAGATTCTCCTTCCGAGGGCCAGGCACAAAGGCCGCTCAAAAACAAAAAAATGTGTCCGAAGACGGAGATTTCCTAGTTGCCCTTTGAGAGACCAAGCAAGTAATTTTGAGAAGCTGCCAAAAAAGGGGCGCCCCATATGGTGCGGTATTCTTTTGGCTTCCTTTCATATCAACCGACCAAACATGGGGTACCCCAAAACAAGACGAGCCACCAAAAGAGAAAAAAGGTACCCCTGGAGTCTGGCTTGCTGCGCCAAGCGGCATCTTCGCCATCCACCTGTGGAGAAAAAAAACTTTGCAGCTCATGGACTCATGGACCGTAAGCGACGCGGGTGTTTCTCTAAATGGCTGGTTCCCCGTGAAATATGAACCAAACAGTATCCATTATTTTGAGAAGCTCCTATGGTCAAACTACTTGTTTGCCCCAAAAGCACACTTTTTGGTCTTTGCGCCTTTGTTTCCTTTATTTTGTCGCGTGTCCCCCTATGTTCTTCCCACATGGACCATAGACCGGCAATGTTGAACCCGAACCTCACCTTGCACGCATCACGCCACGAAGACGTTTTCAACCTAATCCTGCCTGCAGGGTCAGACCCTTTGAAAGGTCAAGGTGATCGACCAGGAGCCCCGAGACAAACCACAACCTGCGTCAACCCGACCATTTTGACTTCTCCCCAAACGGAAGGGATCCCCAACCACAGATTCCGATCCTCGCACGATGCGTTTTTGGTTGTTTGCTTTTTGTTTGTGTGTTTTCCCCGATCTCCAGCTATGGGGTCTGATTCCCTTCGATTCTGGAATCCCTCCTTTTTTCTAAGATGGTGGTTTTTCCTTCACCACGCAAAACCTGTTCTCCCTCCATTGAAGCCCGGCTTCATCCTCGCCGCTTCCAGCCGCGCCTCGATGCTTCGGCAGAGGTAGTTGAAGCTGGGCTTCATGTGTCCGCCCCAATCTGTCCTCGCGCCGATTCGCGCGGGCAGGCGGCAGGCAGAGAAAAGAAGCCCCAGGCTTGGACTCGCGAAATCGGCTCCTCTGACACTCTGAGTCTGATGGAGTCGTTTACGAAGAACTTGCTGCTGCTCAGCAGGAAATGAGAAATGGAATGACCCTTGACCATCCCTTGCGGGTTCCTTTACCCAGCAAGATAACTTGCGCACACTTTAACCAGCGGCCAAAACTTTCCCTGGCGAGTGCCCAAGATCATAGTCAGTGCCAGAAGGCTAGAAACCGCAATACTTACTTCCTGAGTAACTTCCTGAGATTGGCATATGTTTAAACAGCAACTAGAATGATCTTTCCAAAAAGTTACTAAAGTCAAGAAAGCCGAGTCGGCTCAATGGCTACCCTTGCTGCGGATTCATCTCAGTCCGGCCTTAGATTTGAAGCAGAAATTCGGGCCATCGCCAAGCCGCTTGATGTCTTAGCTGAAACGGCGGCAAAAGACAAACCGACATACGCAAACAACCCCCCCCCCCCCAACAAAAAATAAAAATAAAAATCCGCCGACCCTCTGCCTACCGTCCCAGCCTCCTGCAGAGGGGACCGGCGTGGGATGCAACTGGAAGTGATTGGAATCCATGATGGTCCCTAGCTGTTACATGTAGTCCTGGGACTGGTCCCAGGACCGGTCTTGGGACCGGTTCCAGACCGGTTTTGGGACCAGTCCTGGGACGGGTCCGCTTTCAGGACTGGTCCAAGCCAGTCCCGGAATCGAGTCCTGGTGTGACCGCTGGTATCGGATCCCACTTCAAACCGCTGCAGAAACCTGGCGCCACCTCAAACCGCTCCGGCTCAATGTGACTTGGACGCAAACCGGCCCGTGCGGTCATTGACGGACGAGCTGCCATCTGTCTGCGACCGGTCCAGGGCAACTGTCCCCGGGGCAGTTTCGGGAGGGCCAGTTTCAGGGCGACCCCGGGAGAGGCGACTGCTCCCGGGCCAACTCGAAGTGACTTGGGCGCAAGCCGGCCCAAGCAGTAATTAACGGACTAGCTGCCATATTTCTGACTTTTCCGTTAATCCTTGTTTGTGGTCGTAGAGGATCTTATAAGTGGTCCCTGGGTTTGCGGACGTGTTTCAGGACCGGTCGGCGGCAGCAGGCGGGAGCCTGGTTAATCCGGCTACGCCTCCTTGGGGTAGCATGTCGCCGCTAGGCAATTAGCCTGCTAGCTTTAGCTATAGGGGCTGCACCCTGGTGCCGCCGACCCTCGCCACTTGGTCGTGATGCGCGGCCTAAATCCGGCACCTCTGCATCACCAGCTCGGGCTTGCGGTTTTGCTTGACTGTGGGAATCGCGAAACATCGCGTATATGCAGGGTTTAGGCCATGTGGCTGACATCGTCAGGGTCTGGGGTTGGGCCTGGGTGATGCTTCAGCGGGGCTTGGTCTGCATCATTTTTAAGTAGGTATCGGAGGGGTATTAGCGAGGCTCATTGTTGCGCATTTTGGCGCCAAGCGCTGCCGGGCATGCCGGCGATGCTGGGTCCTTGCTCTAGAAAACGCTGTAAATACCGCAAAAACCTGCTGTGCTGAGCGTTGGGCTGCTGTCCTGTCCGTTTTGCATTTGCTGTGGCTGGCTCGCGTGCTGCGCGGTCCTTGCTTTTTTCGCGTTGGTTTTCGGGCCTTCTGGCGCGCGCGCGCGCGACCCCAGCCACAAAACGCTGCTAGTTACAGTGTTTTGTTGCATTTGCGTTTCCGGCCTGGCTTGCGGGCTGCTCTTTTTGGGCTGCTTTTTTTGGGTCCTCTGGCGCGCGCGACCCCATGTGAGCCTTCTGGGTTGGGGCCCGGATGGGGCCCAGAAAGCCGGCATCCCCAGCATTATCTGGGGTTAAGGTGGGCAACATGCATAACCTAACCAGCCATATCATAGCACACGCCACGTTTCTCATGCAAAAAACATGACATGACATGGTATAACTTCAAAGAGGCGTAGCCGGCTAGAGGCCGCAGGCCCAGAAAATAAAACAAACCTCCCCCCCCCAAAAAAAAAAAAAGAAGAAGAAGAAGAAGAAAAAAAAAAGCCCCGCCAAGCGACTTCGATTCCGCGACTTCGATTCCGCGACTTCGATTCCGCGACTTCGATTCCGCTTTTCGCCTGGTGCGGGCAAATTCCCAGGCAGGGCCACCTCAGACATAGGCAGAAGCTGCGCGGAACCCAGCTGATAAAAGTCAGAATCAACCTGCGGGTGTGTGGCTTTTTGCGGGAACCCGTTCTTTGGGTGTTTGATAAATCAGAATCAACTTGTGTTGTTTCTTTTTGGGGGGAACCCTTTCTTCGGGTTGTGTCAAAGAACGAAGCCGAGAAGTCAAACAACATGCAAAAAGAGAAGCTTACTTTGCTACATAACAAGTACGGCTGACTCACAGTTGCTTATCATCGAGCACGTTGAATCAGCTTGGCGCTTTGCCGGGTTGCTTACCTGCCTGGAGAAAAAAAGAGGCTAGCGTAGAGGAAAGCCGAATCAATCACCCGACAGGGCTGCACCCCTGGATGTCACACGAATTGGTTGCCACGTCCGGTGAAGGATCCCAGAGCATTCCCAGCACCATTCAAGCCATCAGCGCCGCAAACCCGAGCTGCACGTTGATTCTACCAAAGTGGTCGTGAAGATGTATATTGTGGGCCATGCTACAACCCTTAGCCTGGTGGTAGAACCACCTAAATCGGCAAAGTGGAATCAGTGGTGGGCGCTCGCGTGAAGCGCTTGGGTCGAAAGCGCGGCTTGCAAGCGCTCCATGAACCCAGGGTGTGTTGTGAAAATAGCCCTTGTCGAACCCGAGTTGATTCCCCATTCTTTTCAACCATCCTTCTTCTCAAAAACCAGCTGTCTCCCCAGGGTTGTTGGTGTTTTCTTAGAAAGAAGGATCCCTGGAAAGAATGGGGAAGGTACCCCTGGATTGGTATCAACCACCCATGGCGTCAGTCAAGTGCAAATCCTCGCTTGGGCGCTGGCTCTTGGGCAAGTGCTCCACCACCACGAAGGGGTCCATCTTGCCAAAGGTCTCGAAGCTCCTGTATCAAAAGAGTCCAAAGGGTATATGGGCGTGGTTTGCGTGGAGTTGCCACCCTTTCGCGCGGAAATTTACGGGCAACTAAACGGAAAAACCACCGCCCCTCAAAAAAATGGCACAGCCAGAGAAGTATATATATATATATATACATATTATATATATATATTATGTATATATAGATATACAAATATGTGTATATATATATATACAAATAAATAAACAAACAAATACATATATATATATATATATATATAAAAAAAAAAAAAAAAAAAAAAAAAAAAAAAAAAAAAAAACTATATACCTATATATAGATATGTATATATATATATATGTATTTATTGCACCCCCAAAATCAAAATTGGTGGCATTCCCGCCTTACCAGCTCCCCGCGCAGCACCCAGATCTGCAGGCGCTGCTGCAGGAGGGCCCGGTCCAGCGCCTGGCCGAGAGAGCTGGTTGGCTGAGTTTCTCACTCATTTGGGCAACTGGTACACAACTCGCAGCAAAACAAGGAATTCCGGAGTAAGGGATCTTCATCATTTGCGCGATCCCACCCCAGATGGCTGTGGGTCAAAACCCGGTACCCCTGGTGAACATCAAAATAGGTGGCAAATGGATGTTCATCCACCCTAAAATGGGATTGCCATAGGTTATGCAACCCATGGCCACGTGTGTATTGCACGGGTTCTTCTCAAGATGGGAACTGGATCTACGGCTTGATTCCCCATTCTCCCAACCAAACCAAGCCAGCTTGCTGGTGCGATGGGCAGGGAATGACAAATGGAGTGACCCTTGACCATCCCCCCGTGGTTTCCTTCAAGATCCCTCGGTTCATTCCATTTCTCATTCCCTATCGTACCAACAAGAAAAGGGTTACAGCCTCTAGGGGACCCTTCCCAAAAGAAAGGAGAAAAAGAGGCAGCACTGGGCAACTGGTTTAATTGTTGGTCCAATGGAAAGTTCGAGAGCTTTTCGAAGCTCTTTTGGACCAGGGTTGGACCAAAAGTCAGAGACCAGGGTTTCTTTGGTGGTGCGAAATGAGTTTCGCAACCACGGGTTCAAATCGCTAAGCACTGTTAAAAAGACATTGTGGGGTGGTTTGCTTGGGGATGGGGGGTTCAAACCGGTTGGGTAAAGTATGACCACCACATTTCACCCTTAAGGAGCTTCATAATCTTGTTTCGGTCCTTACCATTCTGTGAATGGGACTTTTAAGGAAACAGACTCAAACTGGTGAGTTGTTTGGGGGTGTTCCCCAAAAAACGTGAAGCATGGATCCGCTCCAAAATGTGACCCTGTCCCACTTTATGTATGCATATATATATATATGTATATATATATATATGGAGGTACGCAATCATGTATATATACACATACATAATACATATATATATATATATTTATACATATATATATACATATATATATATATATATGTGATACGATATATATATATATATATATATGTATATGTATATATATACATATTACCCTCCACCCGAGCGCCCGATTCGCCGGGCCCGATTCACGGCCCGGCCTTCTTGTGGTCCTCAGTGGGCAGCTTCTCCTGAGAGTCGAATGGCTTTGGGGGTGCCTGGATCGCCAGTTGCTGCTTTTTCCCATGAACTTTATCCCAAAAACCAGCAACAGTGGCTGAAAAAAGCAGCAACTTGGCGATCTAGGTGGTATCTGAAGGGAAACCAAAAAGGAAATCAAACATCTTCGAGGACCGGTTCCTTTTTTGAGATAACCCCCCCCCCATGGTGCTAAAGGGAAAAGGAAACTCAGCACCTGAAAGGAACCAAAAAACTGCTGCAAAGTCCCTTTCGCTGCCCTTATGAAATTCCTGAACAGTAAACAATGGTGGTTAGATTTTCCCAACCATTGCTTTGGCATTGCTTTTCTGGAGATTGAACCCGCCCCAAGCGGTGATTGGTGATTAATTGACTATACCTCAGATCCCCTGCAAAAAACTCCCTTTAGTGGGTTGAATGGAAACCAAACCACTCAACCCAAAAAAGCTATAAGCCAAAGGAAACGGACAACTGTGAACTGCCAAGCATACTCAACTCCGGTGGTTATATGCGTGCGTCTCATAAACAGGGGACTCCTTCAAAGGGCTGGGGTCGGGTTTCTTAAAGGAACCTAGCTGGAGGGGTAGGTCCCCAACTTTGATTAACCTCCATATGGGTATGGGTCAAATTTAAGCCACCATGGGTCTGCAGGCAGTAGGCCTTGTTTCCATTTACCCGGGGGCCATTTGAGGTTACCCTATTTTTGACCCACAACCCATATGGGGCTGAATTTCAATGGGGGACCCTTTGGTGGACACCATTTAGGTGGGGATTTATGTCCACCAGCCACTTTTGAGGTGGACCCTTCTTAAAACTCATAGCCATACCAATCCAGCAGGCCTGGCTGGCCGAGGTCAGCAGCGTGCGCGCGGGCCCCATCGCCTCCGGCGGTAGGGACGGCGCCTCGGCGAGCCAACGGCGGGTGGTTGTGGGGGAATACGTTGGCCAACCCTACGTGTCTAGGTCCTCCAGAAGAGAGATTAGAATGAGGGTACCATGTTTTTTTTGTAGTCTATTTTAGTAGGGGGACCCTCCCCCAAAAAGGGTAAACGGGCACCACTGGGGGTCCTAGGAGTGTGCCAAGAGGGTATCATTTGAAAGCTTGGTTTGGGAAAATCGGTATTTTGAGACATATCCATGTCGGGTTGTTCCGGTGGGGAGGGGCGGGATCTGGGCTTGGGGTTTGGGGTGGTTTTGATCGGTTCAAAGTCTCTGGCGTGGTCGTTGGGGTGGGGATTGAGTGGAACAAAAATGGAATGGGTCAATTTGGGCCGTCTTTTTGAGGTTGTGGTTTCCCTTTAAAGCCTGCCAAAAAAGGCTGGCCTCAAAAAAGACAAACCCATTTGAGAGTCCATGATTGGCATGCGGTATGCTGAAATGCGTAGACCTTGCTGGCCTTGAGACGTTGGTGGATGTCATCTAGCAAAGCCACCGGGAAAGGTTACTGGATGAAATCCTTCGCACGACTGGAACCACTTGACCCCCTGGAATGTACAGAATGCAGGCTGCCACCATCTGCGTTTGCCTTCTCTTCTCAAACGATGCTCCAAAGGCTTGGCAACCACGCACTCCATCGGTGTCAGTTTGTGGTTTCTTTTCAAAAGGGTCCAAAACCACGTTGCACTGCTAGAGCTAAGCCAGCCAAAGGCGCCCAACCGAAGCAAATGGGAGTCTGATACGCAGGCACCATTCCAGAAATATGAACTGATGGATTGATCCCAAAGGCCCGTACAAATCAGAGCTGGTTTCCATCTCTCAGTGAGGGAACGATCGATTTTGGGGTAGGGGCCACCAGATTTGAAGCTCAGATTGTCTCATGCATGGCCGGGTTTCGCGTGTTACCATCCTTGCGAGCCTGCCACCAAATCACCACAAACCCGTCGCGGGCGTCTTCAAACCAAGCCTTCTCAAGATTCAAGACTTTTCCAGGCCAGTGCTGGCCTTTTTGTTCTTCTTTCAGAACCATCCGAAAAGAGGATAGCCATTTTGAGACCCACTCGAGCCCGACAGCAACCAAAACCCACACGAGCCCGCCTTGGCCAAGTCTTTCTGAGAGCTTTGTGAGCAGCCCATGATCGCTACCGGCCACTGGGTAATCTGACTAAGCTTTGGTCAAGCGTGCCGCTTCTTTGTTGCTTTGAACTGACTGGCATGTCCTGACTCTTGTTGCTTGTTCCTGCGCTGGACAAGTGGATCTGCACTGTATACGGGGACCCTAAGCGCGCTGTCCGAATCCTTCAGCGCGAGGCCGGCGATCAAATCAATGCACGCTGTCGAGCCCTGAAGGGCTTGCAACTCCAATCCGGATTGTTCAAGTGAGAGAGGTACAGGCCAAATTCGCGTATCAAACGCCGCCGGGGAGCAAATTGGTTGGTGTAACCCATTCCATTCCCTGTACAACCTTTATTTACCACAGTAGATAATTACTGACGATCAACGTTCACCGCTGCTGTGGGCATTTCTGAGATCCGTTCGAGCGGCCTGGGTGCCAGAAACCGCTCGGTCACGCGGCCGGGTTCGGCCGGTTCGGCCGAGCGGCCGAACCGCGCGCGCAGCCTAAAGCACCGAGGAAAAAATGGCATGATCACATCTGTGATCGTGCGAAGGATCGATGCGTGCATCCATCCAGCGATTCTCTCGGTAGGCGCCTTCCTCTCGCAAGAGGCATGGCGGCGCTGAAATTGCTGTCCTGCGACAGCTAAGTGAAACCGGCCGAGTGCCTCGCTGGCACTTTGCGGCAAATTAGTTGGGCCTCCCAGCCATTGGCTGTCAGCCCATCGCAGCTTTCTGGAATCGAAAATCGGTCAGACGAAAAACAACCCTGGCAGAGCGTCCTAGGAATTGCACGCCTGGTCTTTCTGTCAAAATATGGCCCTGTGAGAAGCCTTCTGGAAAAGCGTCCACAAGCGCGCGGCGTTCGGCGTTCTTTGGCCGTCTCGCCCTCGCGACCAGCCGTCAGGCAGCCTTCACAAGGCCCATGCCCGAGTTGCGGCAGATGTGCACGAAGTCGGTAAAATCCTCGGGGTGCGTGTCTTCTGTGGAAGCATTCCCAGGCACAGCTGTTTGCGCGCGAGTCAACCGACGGCAACAAACCACCACGACACTCTTGGCAAAGATCTGTCAGCCACTGTGCAAGCCAAAGAGGGTGTAGGGAACAATGCCATGCTTGGTGTGTCAAAAAACAAAAACACAAGATATGCAATGGCAATAAGACACCGTTCCCTCATTGATCCTGCCCCGCCTCACACCACTTTTGGCCACTGCCCCCCTATCTCGCTCCGTTCGTGCCTGCCTGTCCCCACCACCCTTGCAATTCTCACGCCACACTCACGAAACCAAAAGCAGAAGCACTAGAGATGCCTTTGGGAGAAAAATACAACAATGAGAAGCATGCAAACCGAAATCCGGAAAACGGGAAATCCGAAAGAAAAAACAAGTGACATGCTCAACCTCTGCAGAAGTAAATGGGCAAAGGCCCACACAATACCCTCCCAATTGTGTGAAAGCTGACGGGTACGATCGCCATCACAAGGTTCACCTTTGAAACAAGTCCGAGGAAGAAGGGCCGTGAACTGGCAATGCGTAGCCCATTTGCTGATGGAAAGACTTTCCAGTGTCAGATCCTTCCTCGGTGTTGGAGCTACATGAGAGTCACAGAGAGAATGTCGACTTCAGTTTCATCCCAAAAAACCGTACTCATCAGGGCAGGGCGGTGTCCCTTTCAGTCGCAGAAAGCAGGGCTGCTTTTTGGCGAGGGGCCACAAAGCCGCGGCCCTGCTGATCCGCCTCTTGGATCATGTCCTCGAAGGCAATGCAAGGAGCGACTCCCGGGTACCCCTAAAATCCGCCAACCAGACTTGCACCATGGTGAAAACTGGGTTTCTTGTCCGGAAAAGCAAAGGGAGATTCCCATCCTTGTGACTCCTTGGACATGGCCCTACCCATCAACAAGTTTGCCCTGCAAGGCTTCTCCCTTCTCCGGAAGCCCAGTAAAGACAAGGCTGCCCAAGAAATGACAAAAAACAAGAGCATGTTCCGCGCAGGCTTCGTTGGGCTGTGATGTTCAGTTGAATTGGACCAGGCCACCTGAGGACGCCGGGAAAATGGCCGGTTGCTTTTTGGGGCTTCCCTTTACTCACCGTCCAAAAGAAGGCGTGTGGCTTCCGGTTGGTTCTTTCTTATCCAAAGGGAGCGGTTCCGCCGGTGTTTTTCGTGCAAAGGGCAACTCTCTCCGACATACCTCGCTCAACTGCCGCTGCTCATGGTCCATTTACTGGACCTCGCGAATTGCCCGGAATTGCCGGAAGTGCAGAAATTGAGATGGTTGGTCTCAGGAAGAATCAGCTGGGCACCTGATAAGAGCTTGGTGTCCTTTGCTTAGTTGGGGTCAAACATGGGAATTTGAAATCCACTGGCTGGCAACATTTGGCTGGACACTCCTTCAATATGTGGCCTGCCCCTGCGCGCATTGACCTGTTCCAGGGTCACCCAAGCCACCTCAAGCAACTCACCAAGGGTTGTAGGGAATAGAACACGTTCTCTATAAAATTGGTGTTATTTGACTAATTTGCCCCAAACGCGAATTGGACAGCCATCCCACGGAAGTGATGTCCGCCATTTCAGGTCCCTGAATGGTCATGCCCATATGAGCGTCTCTTTTGTTTGGCCCCCCCCCAAAAAAAAGAACAGAAAAAAGGGAAAAGGCGGTGTCCGTTTTCTTTTTCCTTTAAAATCGCCCAACAAGTGCTACCCTCCAAACAAAAAAGCAAATGAATCTAGCGCTGCGGGCAAACCATCCCGAACCTGGACGTTCTGGTCCGAAAGCTGCAGGCCAATGCTTCGCATGGAAGCCTCGCGAAGGCGAAGGTGCTCTTGCCCAGTGCCGCCCTTTCTCCAGTCTTTTGGGAAGGGTCCCCCTAGATCTAACTAAAAAAGGGACGCTGTTTTTTTCTTTGCTGGTGTAGGGAATGAGAAATGGAATGAAGCTGGGGATTCCTTTCAATGAAACCATGGGGGATGGTCTATAAGGGTCATTCCATTTCTCATTCCCTGCTGAGCACCAGCAAGCTGGTTTGGGTGGGAGAATGGGGAGTCAAGCCGTAGATGTCTGGTTCAACGGGAAACGAACCATAGAGGATCCAATTCCTATCTTGAGTACAAACCCGCGTGATACACATGTGAGCCAAGGAGATGGGGACAATTAGGTTACGCCACGGCAACCCCAATGTCTGAGCCCCCATGTTCCAATTTCTAACCAAGAAGTGCGCTTTGTACCCTCTCACCAACGGCTGGCATGAATGGTTCCCAACCACAGCGAAGCTGTGAAACTCCTGCCAAAACAGGGAAATGGCTCAACTCAGGAGATTTGTTCTGCTTCATTTGTAAGGGGAATTGGATTAGTGGTTCTCACTCTCCGGCAGGGTCGGGATTCCTTAATTCGCATTCAAGATCCAGGAAACTCACAAAAACGGGACCAGAAAATACAACCTGCAAACTTGGGGGAAGTTGTTCTTTTCTTAATCAACTGGCTCCAAAATCCGCTCAAATGGGCTTGTCTTTGAAATATCGGCCCCCCCCAAAAAAAAAAGAAAGGAAACGGCTGGATACCTGGTGGATTCTTTTAAACCCACAAGAAGGGGCTACCCTCAAAACAAGACACCCCCAAATATATCTGGAGGGTCGGCCCTCGGATCTCGACGCCGTCGGCCCTCGGATCTCGACGCCTGCAGCTGGCTGGCAGTGAGGTTCCCCTCAGCCCCGGCGAAGTCGCGGAAGGTTGCCTCAACCGCCTCGAGCGGATGGCGAGCGAAGGCTTTGGAGGATGTCTTCTGGGCTGCGCTCAATTAAACTTTTACCGCGCTAAACGATAAAGAACTCCCACTATCACCAAACCAATTTCACAAAGAGCTAAAGCTAAGCTAGGACCCGGGATGGCTGGGAGCCATCCATGCCTTGTTTTTTTCCTTGCCGGGTGCGTCGAAGCCAACTCCTCTCCGATCTCGCCGAATCCAACCCCCCGCCCGAAAGAGAAGGCCTCCTCGAAGGTCAAAGACGCGCCCAGGCTCTTCGTGATCGCATTCTTCACCTCGGAACTCGGCCGGAAGTCAGCTAAAAATCGCGGGGAAAAAGCGGAAGTGGAACGGGGACCCTGGGAAGACGGACGGAACTCGGTGGAAGTTTCAGGGGCGCTCGAAAAACGGCTTTCCTCTGGCGGCTCTTTGAAGCCCCCATGTCGAAAACAGTATCCCGGAACCGTCCGACCCATCGCCCGTTTCTCTCAAAAAAAGAAAAAAGGGCGCCGACATCCCCACCCGCCACACCCCCGCCACACCCCCCACCCACCGCTCGCTTTGTCCAAGGAGCCCTCGCCCAACTTGCGGCCGCGGACAAGTTCTGCACGCCCTTGATGCGCAGCTTGGCCTCCGCAGCGGCGCAGTTGTAGAGCACGTGGTAAGTGACCTTCCGCGAAACCGCTACCGCGAAGTCAGAAAGAAGTCGCAAAAACGTGCGTTGTGCGCGGGAAACTGCGAGAGATTGAGGGCGCGCGAAACCGGAAACTTCGCGCGGCAAGGGGGGAGGGAGGGGACATGCTGAAGGAAAAGGCGCATGATTGGAGGGTCCGATCGAGAGCTTGTTTGGAGGAAAACCAGGGGAGGATGAATCCCTGGAATGATGAACCCCCTGTAAATACAAACTTATGGTTTCAACCATGGTTTCCTTTCGTAATGCGATTTTGGGATTTCGCGAAACCATCCACAGTACCACCAAAAAAACAATAAATTCGAAGACAGGGGGTTATATACCTGAATTCTCCCACCCAACACCAAAAAAACTCGGAGCGCCCAAATCGACCTCCGTTTCGCTGGCCCAGGCGCCGCGGGGAAGACGAATTGCAGCATCTCGAAGATGGTGGTGCCCGCCTCCACGGCGTCCGCCCCGAAGTTGATGAGCTCCCCCGCCTGGCGAGGCAGTCCGAGCATCTGGGTTGTACCTCGAAGTATGTGTTTATATATATATATATGTGTATATATATATATATCATTTGTATATACACATATATATATATATGTATGTATATAGATATATGTATATGGGAAACAAAAACAAAGGCAGAGAGAGAGAGTATATGTGGGTGTTTCTCAAAATGGGGGCCTGACTCGATTCCTCCAGGTAGGTGGTGTCCTATTTTGGCTTCGCCTTAGAACAATCCAACAAGGGGTCCCCTATTTTGGGAAACAGAGAGAGAGAGAGAGAGAATTGTGCATTTCTCTATATCTTGTACCGTGAAAGGCCTTCATCCTGTTGAAAAAGTGCTCATACATGGTGGTTGTGCACTTAAATAGCGCTTATGGTTCTGCATGGTGGTTCTACATGGTGGTTCTACATGGTGGTTCTGCATGGTGGTTCTGCATGGTAGGTTAAAGTATCAAGAGCTTTTTAGGGGCGACCCTCCAAAATGGTAGTGTTCGTGCTGGTTTCCCTTGTACACCAGACAAAAAAAAGGAGTACCAACTCAAAAAAACACACACAAAACAGATCCACACAAACGAGAAAGCCATTGTGGCAGAGGGGTCCGATCTTTGCCCACCCGTACAGGTGCAGAGCCCACCATGAAAGCTAGTGGGATGCCTCTGGGCGACACGCTGGTCCCGAGGGCAGCCAGCTTGCTAAAACCAAGTTGCAACTGCGGAACCTTGATTCAACACACACACACACACACATCCATCTTGTTTTTTGGGCTACGCGGACCCACCCCAACCCGCCTGCGCCCCGCAGATGTGAACGCCAAGGAGGCGACCGTTGGGTCTGTCCTGAGGAATCAGTCCTATGCCTCATTGGACTGGTGCGTTGGTCCCCTTGTCACATGGCCAGGGGTCAAAAACCCGTAGTGAACATCCCAATCCCCACTAAAATAGGCTCTAAAATGGGTGGTGCACCCACCCCAAAATGGGATACCATTGGTTTTGACAACCACCGCCACATCCATGAGTTCCCTCCTCACATCCTTGTACTGGACTGCGACTTGAAGAGTTGCTGGAAGAAAGATCCCTTCAAGACATGGTTCCCAGCGCCTTTCATCCCCTCAGGTCTTCAGGTGCCATGACTTCATGACTTGCTGGCGGTCCCTTCAAGACATGACCAGGGGCCTCCATTCCCTCGGGTTCCATGTTGGCAAGGGGTGGTAAGCCACTCCCAATCATCCAACGAGTGGTGAGATGGCTCCTATCACCAAAACGAGATATCAACTTTGCGACTCAAGCCTCCACAATTGGACCTTACGCAAAGGGTATCTGAGTGTTTCTTGGTGTGGGTGATGTTTTACGGGGAGCCCTGTTTGTCAAATTTCCTTTTTGGGTTGCCATGGAAACGGAAGGGAAACCACTGGATTGGGGGTCCCCAGAAGACAAACCCAATTATGAATGTGTGTTTTGATGGTACCCTCTTCCGGGTTGGTTTGAAGGCAAACCAAAAAAAAAAAACAGCCCACCTGTCCGAACAGCTGCCCGAAACCACCTCAAGCCTCCCGGAAAAAAATCCAGTGAATTCGGATTCCCTTCAAGACCAACAGAAAAACGAATCGACCAAGGACACACGACATGGGTATGGGTCAAAATTAAACCACCAGGATGTGGACCGCAGGTTTTAGTCCATGTTTCCATTTCCCAGGGCAACCCATTTTGGGGTTACCCTATTTTTGACAACAGCAAAATCCAACCGCTCAGTCGGGAAAATCCGCGGAAATCCCCGCGGGCGGAGGCGCGAAGAGCATCTTCAGAAAGCCCTTCTCCCCGCTCACGATGCCCCGCACCGCCCGCTGGTACTCCACCCGCACCGCGCCGAAGTCCAGGTTGCGGCTCGAGGCCTCCTGCTCGTTCAGCCCCACCCACGCCACCTGCGAGTCGCCAAAACCGCAGGAGGAATTTGGGGCCAAAAACGCGGCGGGGTGGGGTCTCCAAAATGGGAAATTGGACTTGGTGTCCCTTTGGCTTCATCTCAAAAGAGGAGATGGACCCGTTTTCGCAAAAGCTGCGCCTCCAAAACAAGACACTCCATCCGACGATTTGGTGCCTATGGGAGGCTCAGAGTGCAACGGGGCTTGGTTGGCCCGTTGAACGGGTGCAAGTGGGCTCTTGTCGCAAGAGATCGGAACCAACGAAGGCGATGTGGGTAAGGTGCAGTGAGGGCCAATGCTTCAATGACTTGGCAAAGTATATAAAATCAGCTGTTGTTCATATTCATAGTAGATGTGTTTGTAAGTTACATGTTGATGGACATTATCAAAGTATATATATACTTGAAGTTTACTGAAAGAACTTGGCTGTTGACCTTGGGAGCGAATGCAATTGCTGGTTTTTTTGATCAGGACGCCTTCCCGACGAACTTGATCAGCGGGCTCCAGTTTCCCCCTCGTAGAGACAGAGCCATTTCGGAAGATCTCTGCATCCCGAGGAGCACTTGCTTTCTTGGGATGCGATCCAGTTGCCGCAGGATTCTCATGACGGGGGGGTGGGGGAATGCCCCCCCATCCGCCATTCCTCTGGCGTGCCAAGGATACCGCACCAAGCCTTCTTTGGGATGGCCCATCTCAAATGTCCCTGAGAGGTTCATCCCGCCAGCCATATAAAGGCGCCCTAGAAAGGCCTCCGGGATGGTCCACACCACGTAAGGCTTTGCCTGCGGTAGCATGGAGCGAATTGGCGTGACTGGGAGATTCTTCAAGAGGGAAGGGAAAACAAGTAGACCATGCATGTGGGTGAAAGCATGAAACCAAGCCCAGAGAAAGCGAAGGCCTGTGCTTCAACTGGGTTGCACTCTTGGGATGCGCGTCCGTGGTGACCATGTGACTAAACCGACTGTCTAAACCAAACTGTTTGCGCTTCCTAGTTGTCCCTTCAAAGGAGACCAGCGCACTGCCCCTTGCTGGGGCTCGCAAACAGTAACTGATTTACGGCGCAGACGACTTGCCCCTCTTTGGAAACCTACCCTGTTGTTCAAACATGCTCAAACCACTAGTCTCAAAGAATAACTCCTTCTGGTTGTCTATACTCCTTTTGCCCAAGCCTGGATAGCGCCCCCCTCCATGATGCAGGGAAATTGAGGGCCCAAGCTTGTTGCACAAGAAGTCAGGAGCTGGCAGGTACGTGCAATTTGGCACCTGTGGCCACTGCTATTCAGAACATGGTGGCTTGCCGTGCCCTTGGTACTTTTGGAGGAAACCAATTTGTACACTCGAACAAGTCACCGTCTGCCGCGCCTTGCTCTCAGATTGTTTGTTTGAAGTTAGGTTCGACAGCCTCACCAACCATTCCCTAAATTCGGCTACAATTCACACATTGGGAATAAGCAGCAATCCCCAAGCAAAGCACCTTCATGAGCTTGCGTTTGTTCTGCCAAGTGAGCTCCTTATAAGTTGCCCAGTTGCATCTCTTGGCATAAAAGCATAGAGAGAGAGAGAGAGAGATACGGAATAAGCCCCCAACATAGTCGGTTGCCTTCTGGTTCCCTCCAAACCAACCCGAGAAGGGCATCCTCAAAAGAAGACACACCCACGAATATAAAAAGAGAGATAGAGAGAGCGGTGTGTGTCTGTGTGTGCGATCCCTCGAGCCTCCTTGTCCTTCAAGCTGTACTGCCCGCTGCCGAACATTTTCCTCACGAGCCATGGGACGTTCAAAGCACACAGCATGAAGCCCGTAGAAGAGGACATGGCGGACTCACCGAAAAGACGTTGGGCTCATAACCCTCAGAAGCACTGCTCTTTTCCTTGGGCACAAAAGGCTTCCATGCCTTGAAATCTGGGGCCCCAACCCCCATTGCACCTTTAGACACCCCCTGCTACAAAAGTATAATGGGGGCCCTAGAAGTGTCGAACCGCTGTTTTTGAAGGAAGGTTCCATTGTCAAAAAGCACGTTGTTTCGCCGCACACTTCTTGCGTCAAACGGACACTTGTCGATTCCCTTCTTCGTAACACCCAGTTTGGGGACAACCCTCCCATGTGTCACTTTCAACCCCCTCCCACGACTCAGTTTCCGGATGGGAGGAGAACAAACAAGAGTGTGTTTTCCCAAACAAAAGCAATGGATCCCCTCTATCACACAACCCTTAGTTGGTGGTTTGGATTGGCGGTTTGGGGGTTGAACCCCTGCTTCTTTCAAAGGGAAAATGGGAAATCACCCCCCACCACCCACCAATCCAAACTGAATTGGAAGAAGCTGACTCTAAGTGGCACCTGTCTGCAAGTGTTGCTACAATTCCTAAAGCTGAATTCAGCGATGCCCAAGTAAGGCACCTTTATCATGGTGAGCTCGGTATACCCCCGGATCGGTGAGCTCGCTATAAAATCGGCAGATTCATCCTTCAAAAAAGAGAGAGAGAAAGGGAGAGAAAGAGAGAGAGAGAGAGAGAAATAGGAGAGAGAGAGAGAGAGAGAGAGAGAGTGAGAGAGAAAGGAAGAGACAGAGACAGAGAGAGGGAGAGACATAGAAAGAGAGAGCAAGAGAGGACAAGAGAGGGAGAGAGAGAGAAGAGAGAAGAGAGAAGAGAGAAGAGAGAAGAGAAAGAGTGAGAGGAGAGAGGGGAGGGAGAGAGAGAGAGAGAGAGAGAGAGAGAGAGAGAGAGAGAGAGAGAGAGAGAGAGAGAGAGAGAGAGAGAGAGAGAGAGAGAGAGAGAGAGAGAGAGAGAGAGAGAGAGAGAGAGAGAGAGAGAGAGAGAGAGAGAGAGAGAGAGAGAGAGAGAGAGAGAGAGAGAGAGAGAGAGAGAGAGAGAGAGAGAGAGAGAGAGAGAGAGAGAGAGAGAGAGAGAGAGAGAGAGAGGGAGAAGAGGGAGGAGAGAGGGAGAGAGGAGGGAGGGAGGAGGGAGAGGGAGGAGAGGGAGAAGGAGGAGGGATGCTTAGAAGTGAGAAGGGGAGAAGGTAGAAGGGAGAAGGAAGGGAGGAAGGGAGAAGGAGGAAAGGAGAAGGGGAAGGGAGAAGGGAGAGGAGAGGAGAAGGGAGAAGGGAGAGGAGAAGGAGGAAGGGAGAAGGGCAGAAGGAGAAGGGAGAAGGGAGAAGGGAGAGGAGAAGGGAGAAGGAGAAGGGAGAAGGAGAAGGGAGAAGGGGAGAGAGGAGAGAGGAGAAGGGAGAAGGGAGAAGGGAGAAGGGAGAAGAGAGAAGAGAGAAGGAGAAGGGAGAAGGGAGAAGGGAGAAGGGAGAAGGGAGAAGGGAGAAGGGAGAAGGGAGAAGGGAGAAGGGAGAAGGGAGAAGGGAGAAGGGAGAAGGGAGAAGGGAGAAGGGATAAGGGAGAAGGGAGAAGGGAGAAGGGAGAAGGGAGAAGGGAGAAGGGAGAAGGGAGAAGGGAGAAGGGAGAAGGGAGAAGGGAGAAGGGAGAAGGGAGAAGGGAGAAGGGAGAAGGGAGAAGGGAGAAGGGAGAAGGGAGAAGGGAGAAGGGAGAGGGAGGAGAGAGAGAAAGGGAGGAGCGAGAGAGGGGGAGGAGAGAGAGAGAGAGAGGGACAAGAGAGAGAGAGGGACAAGAGAGAGAGAGAGAGAGAGGGACAAGAGAGAGAGAGGGACAAGAGAGAGAGAGGGACAAGAGAGAGAGAGGAAGGAGGGAGGAGAGAGAGGGAGGAGGGAGGAGAGAGAGGGAGGAGGGAGCAGAGAGAGGGAGAAGGGAGCAGAGAGAGGGAGCAGGGAGGAGAGAGAGGGAGAGAGAGAGAGAGAGGAAAAACAAGAGAGAGAGGAACAAGAGAGAGAGAGAGAGAGAGAGAGAGAGAGAGAGAGAGAGAGAGAGAGAGAGAGAGAGAGAGAGAGAGAGAGAGAGAGAGAGAGAGAGAGAGAGAGAGAGAGAGAGAGAGAGAGAGAGAGAGAGAGAGAGAGAGAGAGAGAGAGAGGAGGAGGGAGGAGAGAGAGAGAGAGAGCGAGCGAGCGAGCGAGCGAGCGAGGGAGGGAGGGAGGGAGGGCGGGAGGGAGAGAGGGAGAGAGAGAGAGAGAAAGAAAAAAAAAAACGGGAGAGAGAGAGAGAGAGAGAGAGAGAGAGAGTGGACAGAGCCGGAAGTGAGTGAGTGCGACCGGCAGGACAGACAGAGACAGACACAAACAGAAAGAAGAGACAGTGATTGTTCGACAGACAGAAAGACAAGGAAAATGAGAGCGAGCACAGCAAGACAAGAGTCAGCGAGCGCTAGACAGCCAGAATATTTCCGTTATTTGCATTTTCCTCGCATTTCGTTTCCAGTAATTTCCGTGTCCCTTTCAATTTCTTTCCTTCCTGGCTGGAATCCCCAACACCAGCCAGAGCTTAAATTGCCCGTTTCACAACTGCCTGCGCCGAAAGAAGCCAATAGCGTAGCCATTTCCACTCCGTTTCCACGTCCTTTTAATCCTTGTCCCGGCCAGGCGCTGGGGAGTGGCTGGAAATGAAAGAGGATGAAGGGAATGAGCAAAAAAGAAAGGGAGCGGACAGAAATGGCGAGGAAAAAACGTGGAAAGGATCTGGAGGGAAGCCGACTCTAAAGCCTTGAATGCATTGTCACAACCCCGTCGCCCTGCCCCTCCCACCACCCCGGCCTTACGGCGCGCACCGCCTGCTGCGTGCCCACGGTGGCCAAGTTGCCCCCCGCCACGTCCCCCACGGCGTAGATGTTCCCCACGCCGGTGTACTGGTTCCTCAGCACTGGCAACACGGGTTCCTTGATGTTTTCCCTTTTTTTCCCGAGCAAAGCCCAGCCCTAGGGTTCAACCCCCCTTCATGGCTTAAATGCCTAGCCCTAGGGTTCAACCAACCTTCAAAAGAATGGTTGGCCCAATTTGGATGATAGCGTTTATATCAACTCTAAAATTGTTTTAATTGTGGTTTCAACCCCAGGGCCAAGGTACAAACAGCCCAAGGCATGATTTTGCCCAAGAACCCTCGAGAGTCAAAGTCTTTCTGATCCAGAAACGGAGTGCGAACAGTTGGCCAAAACGTGGGACAAGGCCCACCCAAGCCAAACCCTTGACGTGGCTGGAAAGCAAAGATCACTGAAAAACTTCCTGACTAAAATACAGAAAACAGGGGACAAAGGAAAAACGGACAGCGAGAAGGCTGTTGTTGTTGCTAGGGTACCATCAAAAACAGAAACACACAAATCAAATCGGACCCGGTGCTTGGCAACCTTGTGGCCCAAAGGCGAACCCTGTTGCGCTCTTCAGAATCCGCATGTTTGCTCTTGGTCTCAGTGTAATCGAAGGGCCTTCGCAAGGATTCGTAGTTTCAAGGCAGGGTCTGGTTGTCCAAACATATGTTGCCCAACTGGTGGCGTTGAGCTGGAAATGAGAAATTGGACCTGGCCCACGGTTCACGGGCCAAGGAATGGAAAGACTTCATGGGATTCTCGAGACTCCTTCGGCCAGGAAGTATCAATGCCGTGGGAAGAACAGACGAGTGACCCAAAGTCTCAGCACATGTTGCCCACCCTAGTCCTGGTGGATTCAAGAAAGCTTCGGTTCTTGGGCCCACGCGCAAGCACACACATGCACTCCCCTTTTTGGTATTCGCGGCGAAAAAAAAACTGGTGGGAAAAGAAGAAGAAAAGACACCACCCACCTACAAAAAGGCTCCCAAAAGCAAAACCGGCCGAGCCCCCTTGGCGTCCAAAAAAGGGACGCCCCCTAGCCGCTGCGTCTGAGGGGCTCGTCCACCTGGATCAT